CAGGGCAATTATTAAATAGAATTTGGTGCAAATTAGACTAAATATGATGCGCTGTGGAAAGTCTGTGGAAATAAATCTAGCAAGACAATTGCATCCTTTAAAAATCAAATGAAAGAGATATGCATTGCATTTACAAGCTGATCTGCAGCTTAGTGTCAGCAGCATTGATGAAAAATTCCCTTGATTGTTATTAATTTAATTCTCCTGGGCAGAATATAAAAGCTTCTGCAGCTTGCGTCATTTGCCAAGTAATTACAATACCAATACATTGTGTTTTTTTTTTTTTTTTTTTTTGAAAAGAGGACGTTTGCATTTCACCTTGAACACAATGAATAGAAGTTTATGGACCCTGGGGTGAAAATGGGCCCACAGTGCTCCAATTGAAAGTAGGACAGATTACCACGGGGAGCCTAATCTGGGCTGCATGGTGCCCTGCAGGTACAAATTGTCACCAAGCAATTGGCTCTGCCAGCTGTGGATGTATGAGTTTAAATAGACAGTGACAGCCAGCAGGAGAATTTGCCTGTTGGCTGCTTGTTGTGGCCTAAATGTACTTGGTCACAATAAAGATGATTTATTTAAAGACCACCACAGTGTAAGGCTGGACCAACATTTTAAGCCATCATGGAAATTAGGCCTTCACTCTCCACCTCCTCATTGCCAAGGCTTAGTGGAGCTGTCAGTGGCAGTTTTAATGGATGCTAATTCATCCTCCAGAGATCATCATAAATGCCTCGTTCTCTGCCCGTTGTGTAAGCAATGAATGCCATCATCATTACTGCAAAAGCACAGTCCACTAACCACTTCTGTTTTATGACTGTGTTCTTTATGCTATTATGGAGTGGGAAACATACCATTCAGTTTTCATTACCTGACGATGTGTTCTGCGGGCTTGACATTAAAATGCTGTCAGAAGGGGAGGTGCTGTTTTAGCATTTCAATTTTATATTGCTCATATTTCCTATTTCATTAAACAGTTTGTATTGACTGAGTGCCATTAGGCAAATAGAAAGATTACTGTTAGTTAAAGATAGAGCCAGTGTGCAGAAGTGGTTTTATATTATGTGTCAGTGTATCTCAGTTATGTTGATGGAGAAGCAACTCGTAGCAGTTATAGTGAAGTCATTCTTACATGGTGAGAAGTTCCACTAATTTAATATCTTGACTGGTAAAGATACGATTAGAAAGAGTAACACAAAACACAAATTGCCCAAAACATGTTTATACATTAGCAAGTTTTATTAATTAACAAGTGAGTTGAAAAATGTGATTTGATTAGAAGCTTTTTATTCAGTGCTAAGGTCGACCAGATCAACAAGCCAAAAAAATGGATGTATATTATAGATATATTTATATAATATTTAGTCTTGAGGTCAGAGCTTCTACAAATTTCCAGATTAGTGGCTTCCAACATTAGGAATTAAAGATCTCTTCAGTTTTATATTTTACCTGATGTTAATCAGTTAATCAAATCAATGCCATTATTGTCAATACTCAACTGCAATAAAATTTCAATGCATCTCCTTTCCAGTGGCAAGTTAAAAACATGATAAAACAAACACACAGTAAAATAGACCACACAATAAATAATCATGTCAAAAAGCAAGTAATTCAATAAATGTTGCACATAAGAATCAGTGCATGAGAATCAGTTGAGTGACTGACAGAGTTCACTTTTATGGCATGTGGGCAGAAGCAGTTTTGGTGTCTGGAAGTCCAGGTCTTGCGTCATTGATGGGTCAATGATTATTTGTGGCTCTGTGTAGACGTCAGGTACTGTAATACTGTACAGTATAATCCTCTAGTGCAGAAAGTGATGTGCTGGTGATGTCCTGTGCTCAGTTTATAATTCTCTGCAATGCTTTGCTGTCATCAACAAACTTGATAACTGTATTTGTGCTGTGGGTCAGTGTACAGTTATGAGTATACACACAGTATAATAGAGGACGTAGGACACATCCTTAATTTCAGATTTTATTTACCACAAGCCTGGGCAGTGCAAGTAAACCATGAGCTCAAACCTTTACATAAAACTATTCCACACTGACTGTGATTTGAATCTTCAATCTTGATTCAAGCCTGAGGGAATAAAGAGCAATCAGAGCCATAACTGTCCCAAACCCTTGGGGTCAAATCCAGCTGAATCGAGTTTGGGCTGAGAATCAGAGCTCTAATAATGTAAAACCAAAGACTAATCCTGGAAATAATAGAGATCTTCCCCAGGAGAAAAATAATTTGTATTTTTCTTCAGTTTTCCTCTACATGTTGCCTTGCTATAAACTCATAGAACACTTGCTGTGGTCTTTGTCAATCTTGTGAGGTGCAAACAGTAATTCATTAACATATTTTAATGTTCATATTACAGCTAAATATTTTGGATGCTTTTCACATTAACTACAGCCATAATTCAGCTATTAACATTTCAAAGCATTAACGCCCCGTGGCTCACTGAGGCATGAGGTGTCAGAAATAAGAGTGTGCTTCCACACAGCCATGTTGGTTCAGACTGGAGACATGAGAGTCTGGCTCAGACAGATGATCGAAGGAAATGCATTTGCCCTGAAAAGAGCCAAAGCAGCCTTTCCTCTGATGCTATGAAAGCCTCTCATCCCCACTTTTTTCTAACCTTCATGAAAAGATGCCATTTCTCTTTCTCTGTGATTGCTCTGATGTTGAGTCACCCAGAGACTAATCCAGGAAATAATAGAGATTAAGCTTTCCCCCAGATTTTTTTCAAGGTGCTATAATTTCTGCAGCTCGTAATCTTTTATCGCTTCTCAATATGGGGTGGTTGGTTGCTGTGACTGACACTCCCAGCCTTCTTAAAAAAAAAAAGGTTGCACTTCACTGGAATAACATTAAGAAAATAAAACTTACCATTTTCTCTTTTACTTCACTAACACCCACTACTGAACCTAGGTTATGGATGCAGCCAAAGAGTTTGAGTTCATGAAGTTCTCATATGATGAGTGACTGTTTATAAATATTAATCAAGACCTACTGGTTAACCCATTCCCAATATGATTGGATGAGACCAATATAACTACAGCTTTAGTCCAACTCATCAAATTTGCTGGAGTTAAACCTTTGTTAGACTTTCTGGGTGCAAACGATATGGGTAACTTGAAAGGGATATGCACATCCTGCATGTTCCTCTTGTTACCTGATGTCAGACAAATTCTCACAGATGATGGCAGTTTCTGTTTTTTTTTTCAGTGGAAAACAGTTAATTAAATGTCTCTCCCTGCCATGTTTTGTGAATATATGCATAGGAGATTAATGAGATCAATTTCAGATTTGTGTCAGAAAGGGAATCGATGTTGCCTAAAAGTCATACTGACAGCCAAATTATGCACATCGACCTAACAGAGGGGAAAAAACTGTTTCTGAGCTGCACATGGTTGTCTTTCCCGTCTCTCTTTTTCTCGCTCTCATTTCTCGCTACTCTGTCATTCGCTCTTAATTCATTGTAATGCAATTCAATATGCCTTATTGATACCAGTGGTCCTGGTGGAGCATTTAAATGAAAATGGAATTCATCAAAAACAAAATCAAATCAGTAAGCATGTGTTGGTTCTCTGTGATGCCCTACACTGTACATGTAGGAGAAACTAAACAAATAATCACAGTCGCTACCAATTCTAATCTAAATACATGCATGGTACACTGGAGTGGCTGGCAGCGAATAAACACAATGAACAGTACTATAATAAAAATATTAATACTAAACATTAATTCTTAATACTTATGGCTTCATCAGTCAGTTTCACAGTTTCCATCCTGCTAAGTCCAAACCAATCGTTCATCCTCACTAACCACAAATTTTTAATCCTGCAGTCTTTCAAATGGAAAAAGATGGTTATTGTATTTTATAATCTAACACTATTGTAATGTGCTCAGTTTCCTGACAAATTGTATTTATTTGTTTATATATGAAGATAATTCAAGCACAGTGAAAATGTACTTTGAGCAGCAAAGCAAAGAAATACCTAACTTAGACTTGGTTTTGCCATCATTCACAGAATAAACACAAGTGTCAACAAGAGGTTGGGAGTCAACTACTCATAATTTAGCCATTCATACAATGTTTATCCATATACTCTGATAATTCCTTTGCGATATTGTTTTAAAACGACCACACTGATAATTGCAAGCTAATGTGTAATGTATAGATATAATCTGAATACGTGCTCAAATGTCACAGTTCATATTGTTAAATAGATAATGGGCACACGCAAACTTGATCCAGATCCCTTGCTTACTTGTATTCATTTGTATTTTTACATGTACATGTAACTTTCTGTAATTACCATGATTATGCGAGACACTGCATTTTAATGTGAGCGCACTAATGATTACTTTGTATCCAGACAAAGGTCAGCACCATGGTGCTCTTTAAAGCATAAGTAGTCTGAAAGCATTAGGCTAGCCAAAATTAACCGTGATAAGATGAGAGATCATGTGGAAGGAGATTTCAAAACAAAATGTGACAGTGTGAGATTCACCAAAACAAACACTTCAGAGGTAAAGTCCTGTTTGCAGGAAAATCAGTGAGCAATAAACAACAAATATGTTTGTGAAATACAGGCTATCCTTCAATTTCATTCAGATTCCCTTTACTCTTTATATTGACTGACCATTTGCAGAATCTGAGGAAGAACACAATTGCACAATGACACACATTATTGCTGTGGTTAAAGGAAAGAGACATTTGTCCATATAAACTATGGACTGCACAGAGCCAGTCATCATTTATCCCCTGTTATTGCTGAAGTCATTAAAGCTTTACTAAGTGAATCACTCTCTGTGGGAACACGCCTTCATCTCATGTGTGTACTAAAACCTGTCTTTATGTGTGCAGCTTCGGTGGCCTAAAATGAAGACGTCTAAATTTTCTATACATCTCTCCACAAATGTGTGTCTTAGATAGAGAACCCTAACAAAGATGATAGAGGATTTGGGAAAAACATTTGTCAGGATAATGTATTTAAATGCTGCAGGTGCATTGTCCCAGAGCCAGGTCCACCCGCTCCTGGGCTCCATGCCTCTGCCAGGTCGACCCCTGCAGCCACAGACGCACACCCAGCTGGAGCACTTCCTGCCGCTCAGAGTCAATGGCTCCTCACCTCTCAGCCTCTTCCCCAGTTTCAACACGGTAACATATCACTTGTCTCTTATACCTTTGGTTACATCAATGTACACTTAAAGTAAGCTTATCTAATACATATTCAAAACAGACATTATCCACAACTTGCAGCAGAATATTTTAAAAAATTACAAGTATCTTAAATTTGAAAATGGAACAGCACTTGAGCCAAGTAAGATATCCACAATATCAGCTGCTGTCAACTTGAACAATATGATAAAATCCCAAACTACACAAGGAAATATTATTAAAAAGGTTATTCAGTGGGGTGTGTTTGTAAGAACAACTGGTAAAACTGTAAAGCATGTCTTACATAACTAATTTGATTTAGCTTGAACAGTGCACTCTGTGGACATGTTATTTAGTAAAATAGAAATATTGTATCAGGCTTGCATTGGCAGGTTTTAAATATTAGTTGGCTCCAATAAGCAGCAAAAATATGACTGAGGGATCTTAAATATAACAGCTGTCTGTTTCTCTCTCGCACGCACGCACGCACACATGTTTGGTCTGGCTCTAAATGATGAAGACTTGCATAGACTGCTGTAACCATTAATGAAACAAGTCCAAGGAACGTGCTAAATGCATCAGGCATGCAGGAGGCTGGGAAGAGATGCCTGTCTGACACTAAACCTAAAAATATGACTTGACTAACACAGCTACACTGAAGGTATGGCAGGATGAAAAGAAGTGATTAAAGAGGCTTATTTAAATTGTGTAAATTGAACTGTGATATTTTCGTGCTTAACACAGCTTCCATTTATGCTTTACATTCAAGAATTATTCTTCAAAACCTCAGCATGGTGTGGCATCATTTTCTGACATATGCCATCTAGGCGGACTTGTAAAATTAATGTCCCTGCACCACACCATGCAGTAAGTCATTCAGTCATAGGATGTGTACAAGTAAAAATCAACACAGATTAGTTGTCCATCACAGACCTGAAAGATGGTGGTAGTAGTGTGGATAATCATTTTGTGTGTATGTGCTTATTCAGGGCCTAATCATCAACTGAATGAAAAGATAAAGGTCTATACCACAGTGAAAATGGCATAACGACAAATTTAAATACACTACTGTAAGTATATTTAACTAATAAAACCATTACAGTATGCACACCAGGTTAAAACACCCCAAGAGGAACAGTGAGTGACCAGTTCCAGGGAGAACTTTGCCTTAAATATGAATGTTGAAAGAAATGTTTGCTGTTTTGGAACAAAAGGGTTTATATATAAATAGTGGATAGAAAACATTTTTCTTACTATATTTAACTTCTAACCACTGAAAATATTCTGCAAATTAGTGTAAAAATGATTTTGTGGGTTAATATTTCAGAGGACAGTGCTAGAAGCATCTACATGTTAGATTTTTGTTTTGTTTGTTTGTACATGTGTTTCACCTCGTAGATGGACCCAGTGCAGAAAGCGGTGATCAACCACACCTTTGGTGTGGCTCCACCCAAGAAGAAACCCATCATCTCCTGTAACATATGTCACCTGCGCTTCAACTCCACTGTAAGTCAGACACCCAGTCAGTCCTTTTCTCTGACATCACAGAGGAAAACAAAGGCTTCCTTGAGATTTCATCTGGTAAACTGGATAGGAACTGAAAAGGGCTCAAAGATAGGCCTGGATTTCTTTTTAGTTCACTGCTGGAAGGTGGAAAACTACCCTTGACCCCATCAGCTTTTATCTGCATTTGTTTTTTGCATATAATTAGTTGCATTATATCAACCCAGGAGACGTTTTTGAGTACGCTAATGATATAGGCATCACAGTCCACTGGATTAACACTCTTACAGTCTTGGCAACAAGCATGTGTGGCATGTGTTCAATCTGTTGATGTCACAGCATTAGTTATTGAAATTTATAATACTGATATCACTTATAGCTTAAACTGCATGACACTTTGATAATGGTGCCAACTTGTTCAGGTTTTTGCTGTGAGCACATTATCAGGCCTTGTTTTGACTGCTTTCAAGAATCCACATATTTGCAATATTTTTAAATATTTTTTGTATTCGTCTAAAAACATTCTTGATGCTGACTGTTCTTCTTAAAACTCCAATCAGTGTTTTATACCATTTTCATTTTTTTTTTCATTAACCGCTGGATTCTTAAAAGAAACCACTCAGCTAAGTTTGCTGCTTTTTTCTTCTTACTGCATCTGTGTATTCATGTTCATTTGGCTCCCATTCCAATGGAGTTCATTTATACTTATTTGCATTTATATTGTAAAGAGCAACCTGGCAGAATGACAATGACTCTTCTTTGTTAAACTTGAAAGAAGCAGGACACTGGCGTGAGACCATTATACTACCCTTACTTCACCATCTGTCTCCTTCTTTCTGCTCATTACTTCTGGACATACAGTAATCCTGTCAGGAGTCTGTTTGTAGTTAACAGGCTCCATCCTCCTCCCTCTGTGTTACCTGCAGCTGAACTGAGAGTGTTGGCTGACCTTGGAAGTGGGATGCCAGGTTGCAGGCAGGTACCAGGTCCCAACAGGGGCAGCACTGTGCAGCTGGAATTTGCACTCCCCAAAGAAACTAGATTAAAGGAATGTTTTATACTCACTGCTTGTGTAGAACAGAAATGTATTAGGTTTCATTTTCACAGTTATCCACTCTTGTTTTTGATACTGAAGACGCAGCTTCAGCTTGCCATCCAAAGTTCACGGGACAAATCAAATTATTTCTTTGTTATGAAAAAGGATTACACCAGCCAAAGCTACTGTACTATGACAGAACAGTAATCTATACTGCTATAAGTGGTTCTTCTGAAAGTTGCAGTTGTTTTTGGGCACATTAGTGAAAAACTGCAATAAATGTCAAATTATGCCAAGATGGCAAGGAAATAAAGAACCTAATTTAGTAATAAAAATGGGCCTTTTGGAAGCTGCACTATCAATATTTTTCTAAACGGCAAATTGGGGTCTAGATTGTGAACAAATCCAAGCAATTATCAATGAAATAGGCAGATATCTTCTCAAGAACTGGTGGATAGGAGAACAGGGCAAAAAGAAGAATGAATATTGTGCTTACATTTGTCAGATGGCCAAAAATACGGCTCTAAATAAATGTTATTGGCACTCCATATCTGCTGGATGTGTAGAAATTTGCCATAACCATAATATAAGGTGATTATATGTCAGAATGTTTAATCTTGTTGCCCCCAGGTGGCCAATAGAGTCAATTAACAGGCTTTTCTTTAAGGGTAAGCTGAAGCTGAGATACTGTAGATTGTACTGGGAAAGTGAACCCTATAAACTCTACTACACGACTGGTGTGTATAAAAAGAGGAATAGACTAGAAAAAAAATCCTAATTATTCCTTTAAGGGTGATAAACTCACTGAAAACGCATGAACGATTCAAGCCTGATGAATGATATTCTAATCTTGCTGCCCTTTTGTGGAGGACAGATGTTGCTCACTGTGTATGAAGAGTTTGGACACCCATGGTGTGAGAATATATAAAGCAGCTTGAATCAAAGTCAACAGAGGTCAAGCAGTCCTGACAGTCTCCTTCTGGTCTTTTTGCCTTCCCGATAAACTTATTCCACGTGTTATTCTTTAAAAGTTACTACGGTGCTACATGGTGAACTCGTACTACACTGGCATGCCAGATGGTATGATAGCGTGTAGATGGGACCAGATTCATCCTCCTGACCCAGATGAAAATCACACCAAATGGTTATTGCGCACTGACATTTAGCGTAGCCAAAGGGGCTGAACACCCTTTGCACAGCCCAGTACTCCTCTCCGCACACTTTGACCCACAGTGGTGTCCTTTCTGTTTGTGTAGCAGGCTAAGCTTTCTGCAAAGTGTTCTCGAGGAGAAGAGATCACCACTGAGTTTGAATGTGGGAAACTGGTATGGATAATTTGAGCAAAGACAAATTATCTAGCACCTTTGTGTGAGGCAAGATATTTGACATCTTGTTATACAGTTCCAGTCTCAGACTTTGCTGATACGGTAAGTACATCTGTGTCTTTCATATGGAGAAAGGTACTGTTGTTGCAAAAGTTGTGCTTTTAAAGAGTAAGGCTGGTTATGTTTTCCCTTATTTTTACTTTTATCAAATCCCATCAAATGAACAAAATCAACAATGTGTCAGGCCACACAACCTCCCCACCTTGTCTGCTGCAGTCAGTTTTAAATCCATTCATTCCCTCTGAAGATGTGTTACTATATAAAAAGGCTACAGTACCTATTTTAATGCTAATGAGTTAACATATGCCAGTGTAGTTTTAATGGATATTGGTCAACAATAACTTTATGGAACAGGAATGAGATTCAGATACACTAACAGTACTTGTTAGTAGACTCAATTGCTCATTTTGGTCTTTTTATGGGATTTGTTGATACTAACAAAAATATCACCAGACCTATCTTTCATGACTTCTACATTACTTGTTCTGTCCCAATGAGCATAGGTCATTTACCACAATATACAGTATGTATTTACCTATAAATGACTTTGAATTTTTGGTCGGTATTGAATGGTACTTTTTCTGTGTTGTTAGCCAGTTTTACATGACAATAGCAAGCATTAAAAAAAAAAATTACAATTTGAAGAAATCTGTCTGTTCACCTTCTGGTTTTTTCTTAGGCTTCTGACCATCTTCATCAGAATATAGAATTTGTTTAATTATCATGAAGTTGGCTCACTTGTCATAGAAAAATGATTGAATATTAAACATGAAAGCTAGTGTCTATATTAATATTTAGTTATACTCTAAAAAAATGAGAAACAAAACAGTTACAATTATTTACTTTGTTTCCTACATCTATGTGGTGCATATAAAATGTATAGATTTCACATGTTTTATGGAAATAATGTGTGTGTGAGATAAATGTGCTGTGCTCCAGTTGTTTTGTGTCACTGACGGAGCACTTTCATTTGCTGGAAGCTGATTTCCTATTGGGTGCATATCTCACTTTATCCACAGACATCCAGAGGCATTTTGGGTATTCTAAATCTGCATGCATCTGTGGCCACACTGCCACAAATGCATTTAGTCTCACTGAGGTCATTTTGTGTCGCAGCACAACAGACCTAGGCCGTTTTGTGTCAGAACGAATCAGTGGAAAGATGAGCCACTGAGCTCAGAGGATGGTCATGCGGTGCCATGAGTCCAGCTGATGGTCATTCATGTACAGCCATGACAATGATGATGATAAAAATATTGATTTGTGATGCGACTCTTCCTCTGACTCAGATGTTCAATCACAGTTTTCCACGTTATCCCATGGAAGTATGTGAAGCCAAATGTGGGATAGAAAGATTACAGTTTACTGATTTCATGCTTTCCTTCATTAATTTAATCAGTTCTGCTTGTGTGTGCATATTTGTGTGTATATATGTGCATGTATGTGATGGTCAGACCCAGGCAGAGGCCCACTACAAAGGTCACAAGCATGCTCGCAAGCTTAAAGCGTTGGAGACTCAGAGGAACAGGCAGAAGAATGGACAGAGTCCATCCACAACAGGAAAAGACAGAGACAAAGAGAGGGTGATGATGGGAGGAGGAGCAGTGCCAGCAGACTCAAATCTGAAAGACAAAACAGGTATAATTTTTTCCTTTTATAGACTCCCTTTCTGTATCCTCTGAATAATTACTGGTAATTGGAGACACATAAGCACTAGGGCTTGGTAGCTGCCACTCAGCTGCCTAATTACCAGCTGTTACCTGTGCTGCTATCATTGGCTCTGTCTGATAGGTAATTACTCCCATCAAGCAAAGACATTGTGTCACATGAGAAGCCTTAATGCACATAAAAGGAGAAGAGGGATGTGCTGGTGTCACTTTCTTTGATTTTGGTTTTACTTATAAATCAACATCATATGAACTCCCACTTGTAGTTCCTTGTTCTTCTTATGAAATGTGTTGTCACTTTGCTAAAGGTCATGTCAAATCTGCATAAAATTGTGGAAAAGGGGCCAAATGTGTGAGTCAAATGTAGGCCTACATGTTTTCTTATCTTTTCTTGTCTTGTAAACAGCAATAGGTTAAAGTAGCGGAGAGGCTAAAACAAGAAATGCCAGCTCACACAGTCATAGAGGAGGTTTATATGCTGCCATCCACGGTGGCTAATGTTTGTAACAAAGAACACCACAGTAGATGCACAGAAATGCAAGTAAATATATTTGTTTGCAAAATTATTTCTAAAGATTCTAAAGTAGATATTGGAATTTAAATGTTGGCAGTAAATCTTCAAACCTTTTAAATGTATAAACTGGAAATTGGTTTAAATCCTGTGTGAGATACACAGAATAGTTATTTTACCACTTTGAATATATTTACCATTTCAAGTAGTTCAGAAGTATAAACTGAAGGCCAGCCCATTTAAACTGCAGTTTATCCAACCCTTTGTTTCATAGTGAACTTCACTTTTATACATAAAAATGAAGAGTGTTTGGATATGACCTTGTGCACATGACTGACCTTTTTTGTGATTGCATGAAAAATTTTTGGTACCAGAATATAAAACCTACAATGTTTAAGTTTTGATTTTTAATTTAAAATGCATTTTAATTTGTTAAATTCCTCAAAGCAGCCCTTTCATTTTTTTGTACATCCACAAATTCTCAGATAAAATACCAGAACATGAATGTCCGTACTGGTGATTATGGCCCTGGATGTTTCCCATATTTTATTGTTATGGGTGTTGGTTCTTCAGCAGCTTTGCCTACAAAAGAGCTTCTGCAAACCTAACAGCTTTTCTCTCTTTTATTTCCTTTCAAACATTTGTCACTTTGTTTTTTGTTCTGCCTGAATAAAAGAATTCACTATCTTCCTTACTAGACTGTCTTTTCATTACTGATCTCTCTCTTCCCATTTTCTTCCAGCACCTATCAATTTTGTTCTAACCACATAATGATAAGCTTGTTACATTCAGTGGTTGCCATGGTTGTTGACTGATGGTGACAGAGAGAGCTTCAGCAGAGAGAGCAAATAAATGACATGGAGACAGCAACAGAGGAAGAATGACTGAGATGGCAGGGAAAACAGGAAGAGGTGTAATGGAAATATAAGGTTACATCCAGCAGCCAGTGAGGTTATTTTAACATTAAGACTGGAAATAGGGGGAAACCTTTCAGCTTTTCTTTTCTATTCTTTTGGCCAGATGTTTCCCCGTTTCCAGTCTTTATGCTAAGCTAAGTGACTGCATACAGCCTTATATATAATAGACAGATATGAGTGTGCTATCTGTCTTCTCATCTTACTCTTCACCAGAATGTTTCCCAGAATGGCAAACTATTCTTTTGAATAGTTTTTGTGAATGTATTGGTCAATATATCCACATGACTAATGGTTGTTTCTCCAGGTGTTTCTCTGCTAATGTCTTCTGAGAACACTGACATGAATGTAATCCCTAAAATACTATGATGCAGCATTACCCTTTGATAATGTTTATCCTTGTCAAGATAGAACATTCCCAATAAAGTGTTAAAAGACTCAGGTGAACCTCTGTGTTTATGTACCCCCAGGCCTGGGCACCTCTTCCCAACCTGTGCAGTATCAACCAGAAAATGACCAGGGGAGCTCGGTGGTAGCCACTCCATCCTCACAGCCTTCATCCATGGACTCGTACTCCTCGCTCCGCTCTCCTCAACTATCCCCACAAATTTCTCCTGGCTCTCAGCTTTGTGATCTAACTCAACCACCAGTTCAGCCCCACACTTTGACCCTCAGGGAAGCGCCACAGGAAGTGAGGAGAAGGTGGAAGAGGCTAAAGAGGCTAAGAACAACAAAAAACAACATCTCCACTGTCCTACATGCAAAGTGACGGTCAATTCCAGTTCCCAGTTGGACGCTCATTGTAGTGGTGTGTACTAAAATACCATATGAGTTTGGTTAGCATTTTGTAACCACTTACCTTACCATTTGATCCTTGTAGGGCAAATGATCAGGACATTTTACAACACTTTATATCTATATCATAATATCATTCTGACATTTGATACTCCTCTCTGATTGGATGAATTAGGCTCTAAGCACAAACAGATGCTTGATGGTCAGAACAGCAGCCGGTCACAGCGCAAGGTCAAGATGATATCCCCCAGACCCACCTGTCGAATTAAACAGCGAATGGGCAGCAAGACAAGAGCAGTTGTTGGTGTATCCAGCCAGCCCTTTCACTGTGAACTGTGCCAGGTGTCTGTCAACTCTGAGATACAGCTGAAGCAGGTATGAGTTTAATTTTAGTCTAATTTTACTACTGAAAATAATCATTGGCCACTGTATAAAAACAAAACACTGAGAACGCCTGACCTCTCTGTCTCTAGGTGGTAAAAACATCCAGTTTGTTGGCTCTTTGGTTTGTTAGTCAGAGCTGTATGACTGAATCATTGTTCTGTATATCCCCGTCCCCTTTTAGCACATGAACAGCAGGAGACACAAAGAGCGCTTGGCTGGGAGGCCTGTCAAGACAAAGTTCACCCCCTATAATAAACTACAGCCCAGTGCTATCTTAGCAGTAAGAATTTGTCACTCAGACACACACATTTGACTGCTTTTATTTTTGTCCACACTGTACAAGTGTATTAAAGAACACATCCAATACAAATAATACATACACAATAGATGTAAATGGTAGGCTGTTCCTGGCAAATGTCAGCATATTTACAAGTCTGGTGGTTGTCAAGTGATGGATACACAAAACTACTAAGTGGAACTAAGTGTTAGGTGAAACATATGAGCTATTTTAAGATAGGTTCTTTGTTTTAAGTCAACATTTGTAAAAGCTGCAGAATGAAGTTTAGTGGCATTTGTTATTCTCAGCTTCTCTTAGCAAAAGAAGTGTGATGGAGCAGTAGATACATGAAGACACTACAGTTCGTTTACAAGCTGTATTGCAAATATGAAACATTACTTCTGATAGTTTTTTTTAATACGTTTTTGAAAAATGTATTGCTCTTGTCTCTGGTTTTAGACTAAACTGGCCCTGCAGAAGCAACTGTCCAAAGCCCTGCCAGCAGGGTTACTGACCAGCCCCCTCAGTCCAGCTACCTTGTGCACTATGGCGTCTGGACCCCTGGCACTACGGCTGCTGCCAGGTCCGACAGCCATCATACAGGGTCCACTGATCACCCCCACGCTCTTCAGGCCTGCACCAGGACCTCTGAGACCCACACATACACCTATTATCTTTTCTCCATACTAGCAATGAGCCAGACTGGAGGACCTACAGTAGAAAGGACCTAACTCAGCCAAAGCTGGACAAAGCAGGGGACCCACTGAGTGACAACAGGACATTATGCAGTGACAGTGAGAGCAGCATATCAACAAGTTAAGTTTGGCAGGTTCAGGTCATAAGAACAGTATGCACAGTGCCCTGGTGTGGATTGAGATTTCAGCGCTGACTGAACAGTGTCATGCCCTCTTAAAAATGGAAGGACCATTGCTCAGCTGTTTCGTCTCAACAAACTGTTGAGTGCATGTTCCCAGGGGTATGGACCCCTTTTCAAGCCATAATGATAAACATCTGTTATTTTTATTTATAAGACTACAATATAAAATACAAGAGGATGTGTAAATGTTACTGCTGTAAGTGTTTATTGCCAAAATTCTTTTATTTAAGAGCTTTCTTGTACTCTGGGAAAACAAGTACAAACAGTTATCCCTGCTTTGGTTTTCAAAAAGCAAATCTAAATGATGAAAATCCAGACTGTGTTAATCTCCTTTAAAACTGACTACTTTCATATAAACATCCTCTGCTTATGAAAATACAAAGAAAACCTGTAACTTTGCATTCCTGAGGATACTGCATCTCAACATGTTTATGACTCTGCAGCCGTCATCCATCGTGGACGTGTTTTTAGGTTAGATGAATACATTTTTTTCCATCTTTCTCTCTTGCTGTCTACAGTATGAGGTGACAATCAACCACCATGATATGATGCCAAGAATGCTATGGAGACAGATTACATCTAGTGCTTACAATAAGATTGCTTAATTTAAAGTTACAAAATGTGAAACTTGTATTTCGTAGACACAAGCCATTATGATAAGCTCTTCAGGTGATGTTAGATAAACAGCTTGATGCTGTTTGTGCAATATGAAGAGTCAGGCTGTGTGCTGTTAGCCAAAATTTAAATGATGTAACATAAGTTTTTAAATGTGTCTTTGACATTTTTCTTAAACCTGTTATTTTTTATAGAGCTATATTAAAAAGTATGTGCTTTCATTTTAGAAATATTTCCTCATCTGATTGTGCTAAATCATCTTAAGCAATATGTATTTTTGAAATGTCATCTAGTAAAATTTATCATTATGTAACTGCATCAATTGCAATAATGTAAAATATTCTGTGCTAAAATCTCAATCGTGTATTCTACATGAACTTATAAATAGTACTGTTTTTACACAGTTGTGTTTAGTTTCTTTATGCAGACACATGATTCTCTTTTACTAGTCATTATACTATAGTTTTATTATGGACATAGTTCATTTATTATTATAGTTGTGTATAATAACTTAAAGGTCATATACTTATTACCAATTAGCATCATTTGTATGAAACTATTGTTATTTCAGATTGCCCCAAAGGTCAAAGAACATCATTAGCAAAGCACATATTGTTTCTGCAAAAAAAGCATTAATTTTGAAATATAAAATGCAAAAAAAAAATAAATAAAAAAATCACAAGCATCATATGTATGAACTATAGTCAGATGTGCAGTGAATTCCTGAACTCGTGTGGCCTCTGAAGTATTAAGAACCATCCACAGAAACACAAGGGAAGTGGCACTTGTCAATTCTTGGGCCAGAGTCAAGGTAGTATGGTGTTTGAGTTGAGATAAAAACAAGAAAAGGTCATTAAGATGTGCCTCACAAGTACCTTCTATGTACCAAAAACTGTCTATGCCACACTACATTTTATGATACTCTAGTGCTCTCTAGTGGTAATTTGTAAATAAAAGCAGAAGAACGGAAGGGTATGGGAAAGAAGTAGAAAGATGTCAGTGCTTATTCCTGCACTTATACTGCATGTATTTACATCATTCTAACAAAAGGTTAATAGCTCAATAATCATGCTTTCCATAACAATGGTAGGCCTAATAAAAAGAAATGTAACCTAAATCTCTTTACTGATGCAATAACCCTGTTTAAAATCCTTTTTAATTTAATTAATAGAGACTTGAAGCTGATCATTTTTGCCTTTGCATGATTACAAAGAGTACTGTGCTATATAGTGCCTTCTTTGATTGATTTTCAATCAAGAGGCATATTTTAGGACCAAGTGAGGTCTTTACATGAACATTGTTCATATAAGGACCAAGTGAGGTCTTTACATGAACATTGTTCATATCCAAAAATACACAAAGCGTGAGCATGTGTTTCTTTGTGAATCATTTTATCTGTAAAGCCCTGGAAGCTACAGTCTGGCCAGTATAATGACACAGAAGCAGGTGGAGTTCTTAGATGAGCTCTGATCTCAGTTAAAAACATTAGGTTGACATATAAAAGTTCAAGATGTGAATATATATGAATGGTTTAAAGATAGGTAAATAACAGTCAGCTAAGCAGTCAGAGCAACTAAATCTCAGGAAATTTAAATCTGGTTAAAACAGTAGCATGGCTAGTTAATGTATTTATGAAACATTTATTTTAGAAGGGTTTGTATGTATGTAATTTTTCAATTTGAATCTTAATCTCACATTTACATTAATAAATACACATAAAATGACATTTATTTTAAAAAAGATACATATGATTAATTCTTAATATGAAAAGGTCATTTTTCTGTGATCTAGTTTCTCCAAACCTTAAAAAAAAAAAGTCATTATTTCCCGGAAATGACGTAAGGTCTTGATAGTCCCTTCCAGAAAAAATGGCAGCTGTTGACATCGACGTGCCGGTGGAAATAGAGACCCAAATCGGCCATCAGGGGGACCTGGAAAGGTAAACTGACAATTATCTACTGTGTCCTATTGTGCTACATCTGTAATGTGAAGATAACCTGAGTGAATTCAGCCTTCGTTAGCTGACAAGGCTCCGAAACAGCCCGGAGACAAGCTAACAAAGCTAGCATACCGGGGGGACACGGCATGTTAGGATGGGTAACGTTACCATTTTTGCTATGTGTTTTCATAAATATCAGGCGTTATTATAGTTCTGATTGTTCAAAACGGACAGAAAATCACGTCGGTCCTTCAAATTGACCCATGAAAACGATGACTAGCGCTTTCCAACTTAATTCCTCAATAGAAGCAAGCCAAGCGTGAGTCGGCGTGCCTTGACACGGAACCCATGCATTTGGAAACTAAATGGGTTGTAACTACTTATTAATTACCCTGTTTTTACGGATACGTTTTAAAGCTAAATGTGGGCGATAAAGCGTCACTTTCTTTGCTGTAGCTAAACTAATCCCTTGTGCTTTCCTCTTTCGAGAATGGCCCATTCATCCCATTGAAAAGAGAATAGAGAAAACTATCTGGTATTGGGACGCAACTCTCGGATAAAGTTACAGAAATTATACAAATTTACAGTCTAGCTTTTCCTAACACGCCATACTATACGTGTGAGAGAAAACAGAGGAAATAATACATTCTCGCATTAAGTAGTTTCTTCACTGACTGACTGATAATCCAAGATACTGGAGCCAGTGAGTTGCCAGTGTTGGCATCCACCACGCTGTGCTAAGGAGCTAAGGAGAGTGATAAACTGCTGCTGTTAGCGACACACCCTTTTAAAGTTTTATAACTAGAAACCAACCTTTAAATAGTATTCAAGGTCAACAGCATTAGTAGCTAAATCTCCAGAAGTCTCTGTTCCCTAAACAAAACAAGGACACTTCAAACACACTACCTGTCAAGAATAGTTAGAAGCAAATTATTATGACTTATTACCAAAAACAAATGACAGTAACAACAGAAATACTTAGCCCTCATCTCCAGCTCTGTGTACTCGGCTCTGCAGTCCAACTTCCAGGTTTAACATGCTGTAGTCAAGTCCTTTCAGATATGCTTATACTGTACACCATCTACAAGACATTCCCAGATGACAAATTCACTGGTTTATGGCTGGAAAATGTTTCTTTGTTTCCTGTTCTATCAGATAATTCCATCTTGATTTTGGTTTGTTTCTCCACTTTCCAGTCAGGCTGAAGGCTTCAAAGAGCAAGGAAATGTATTCTACAGCAAGAAAGATTACTCCGAGGCTTTCAACTATTATACTAAGGCCATTGGTGAGATTACTACTCAGTATACTTTATTACTTTAAACTCCTCTAATTGTTCACAGCACCCATTTACCAAATGTGTTTTCCATACAATCCTGTTTTAAAAAGTCTGGTCTCCTCTTGTTCCCCCGTTGTTTCTGTTAAACTCTCATTTGCATGTCTCCTTTTTCTACCATATCAAGATGCATGCCCAAAAAATGCCAGTTATTATGGCAACAGGGCAGCCACCCTCATGATGCTCTGTCGCTTTCGAGAGGCCCTAGAAGATTCCCAGCAGGCTGTGCGGCTGGATGACTGTTTTATGAAGGTCAGTTTGAACAGACTCTTAGACCAAGAGCATCATCTTCATTCTCAGCTCTTTATGCCACTTAGACTTTTGAACCCCTTCTTGGCCTTTCAAAGTAGGGCAGAATATGTGTGCCGTTCTTCTCCCACAGGGGCATCTACGTGAGGGCAAGTGCCACCTGTCTTTAGGAAATGCCATGGCAGCTAGTCGCTGCTTCCAGAAAGTTCTGGAGCTAGAACCCAGCAACAGAGAAGCCCAACAGGAGGTAGGGAACACCTGAACTTTCCACGTTTTATTTAATCACAACCTCTGAGTGGAGCACAGTCTTGGATCTTGAAGCTAAATTTGCATCACTGAATCCATAAACTCATCCACTTCCAAACAGAGAGAGAGTTCATAATTGAATGTTGTTTTATTTTAGAATAAGAACACAACAACTCTACTGGAGTTGGAGCAAATGGCAGATGCTGGCTTTGAAAAGCGGGATTTCAGAAAGGTGCTACTCTTGTTTTCATCAAACTCACAAAAATTACTTGCTGCTCTTAGACAATCAGTCTTGTCGGACTGGGATTTAAAAAGTCTTAGTGCTTGGCTGCATTAATTTAGGAAAAATACTTTAATAGATTGTTGGTCAAAGATTTTAGTAGTTGGCATCTCTTTTTAAACACTTTGAACTGCTTTTATGCTCTTACAAAGCTCTAAATATTTAAATTTCTTTCATGATTGAATAGTGTAACAGACATAGTCAGGGTTTGATTATTTGTCTCTTGTCCTGTTCCAGGTGGTGTACTGCATGGACCGTGCCTTAGCTCTGGCTTCTGCCTGCCACCGCTTCAAAATACTCAAGGCTGAGTGTCTGGCTCTGCTGGGCCGCTATCCAGAAGCTCAGTCTGTGGCAAGGTAGGAACAGCTAGGCTTTTTTTCCTCTTGGTTCTCTCTGCTATTATTATATTATTGGACCATTATATAATCATATAATATTTGAAATATGAACACAGGGTGTCTTTTAGGTTTCCAGCAAGAAGAGTGGATTTGAGTTACAGATTATTCACAACAAAATTTTCTTTTCCAGTGATATCCTGCGAATGGATTCCACAAATGCAGATGCACTCTATGTGCGAGGCTTGTGTCTTTACTTTGAGGACTGCATCGATAAAGCTGTGCAATTCTTTATCCAGGCTCTGCGCATGGCACCTGACCATGAAAAGGCCCGTCTAGCCTGCAGGGTAAGACTGTCATTATGTGGGGATAACCAAGATTTTCACTGTAGAGCTGAATACAAATATTTGTTTTGCAATGTCTAATGTATACAAATTGTTAAATAACACAAATTGCACTCCAAATCCTGCAACAGTTATAATGGGCAGTATGAAAAACATTTTCTATTTTCACTTGTGCACTGGAAGCGCTTAGTATACAAAAAGTGTACGGAGGAGTCCGCAGAAACACCTCGGAGAAGAAATAATCCGTATAAATCTCAGACAAATAGTACACAGTGAGGGAGTTAATGGCTACATATGAAATGCATGTACATGTACAGTGTATCCAATGCATAGTAAAAACAGCAAATACAAACTACATACACTTGAAAAAGAACTGTGTGCTCAGTAGTAACAGACATTCTTTTATTTCTATTATCTGTTGCACCTGTTTCTATGTGGAGATGTACCAGTGTCACACTTCATTTTAAGTTGGAGATTTGTAAAGAAATAAAGGAGTGAGAGAGATGAAAAATGTGAAACTTAAATACATTGTTTTTCAATTGCAATTTAATTTTCATTACAGAAAAGTTACAAAAATCTCTGTGTATGCTGTTGGTTACACATAGGAAATTGGAGTTGGCCAAAATTGGAATTGGCAGGTCAGACTTTAAAGACAAAAATTGCAAATCAGAATCAGCCAAGAATATTGCAATCGGTGCATCTCTGCTAGTAGCACTATGGAGCAGTTTTTTTGTTTTTTAGAAATGCATCCCTGTTTTGTTTGTGTGGACGCATATACTGTATGCATGTGTGGGTGATGTGATACACACCGATTAACATGAATCCACAAATCAGCAGTTGGTGGTAATGTGCAAGTAAGTTTAGCACTATTCTCACAAAGGCAGTGAAGAATACAGCTAGCTGGAAAACACTGATGTAAACAATGCACTATAATTTCAACTGTTTAAATGTTCAAAACAAACATAAGGACTTGTTCTCTTTCCCAGAATGCCAAAGCCTTAAAAGCCAAGAAGGAGGAGGGCAATGAGGCATTCAAGAACAGCAACTATGAAGCGGCCTACCAGCTGTATACAGAGGCATTGATGATAGATCCCAATAACATCAAGACCAACGCTAAACTCTACTGCAACAGGGCCACAGCGGGAGCAAAGGTAAAAGGCAACAAATCACGTTGCACAGCATGTATTCAGCCACAGGCTCGCACAGTTTGCTCACATCTCAGTGCATGGAAATGAACTGAGATAGTCATGGAAACAAAAAGTTGCATGGAAAATCACCACAGACACTTGATCAGTAATGTAATCTAATTATTTGCATTAAATTAGCAGTTTTGTCATGCTAGGACTCTTCCAGCTCTGTGTTTAGTCAGTTCTCTGTCCTTTTTCCTCATTAACAGCTGAAGAAACTTAAACAAGCCATTGAAGACTGCACAAATGCAATCAAACTAGATGATACGTACATCAAAGCCTACTTACGAAGAGCCCAGTGGTATGTTACACAGTTGCTTTGGCTGCATTTTTCCTAATTATGCATTTCATTGTTTGACATTGGACAGTTTGTGAGTGACTTTGTGTGACCCGTAGTTACATGGACACAGAGCAGTATGAGGAGGCTGTACGAGATTATGAAAAAGTCTACCAGACAGAAAAAACATCAGGTAAGCTGCTGTTGTATTTTTTGCATATTTACTTGTCTTAACTTGTACAGTTTTTTGGTGAGGTTTTCACACATCTCGTGGCTTGGGCTTCTCTCTCTCCCACTGTAGATCACAAGCATCGGCTGAAGACAGCACAGCTGGAGTTGAAGAAGAGCAAGAGGAAAGATTATTATAAGGTGCTTGGGGTCGGCAAGAACGCCACGGAGGATGAGATAAAGAAAGCCTATCGCAAACGAGCCCTTATGCACCACCCAGGTAATCCTCTACACACACAAGCACACAGAGGACACCGATTTTTATGATATTTCAGGATTATTTATTTTAAGGTCTTTGTTACTGTATCATTTTTTGCAGACCGCCACAGTGCAGCGACTCCAGAGGTGCAAAAGGAGGAGGAAAAGAAATTCAAGGAAGTGGGTGAGGCATTCACTGTGCTCTCTGACCCAAAGAAGAAGGTCCGATACGACAATGGACATGACCTGGAAGATGACCACGGCTTTGATGGCGGAGGTAAATGCCTTTTGTTTTTTCCTGTTTATGACTGTATTTTGACATTCAAACTTTAGGTCACTAGTGTCACTATGTTTCAAAACATGGTGAAATACTTCACTAGAGAGACCTCTAGTCTATTCAGTGTCTGGAATATTTTGAGGAAAGACAACGTTAGTGTTTTTTTTCATTCAAACATTTATTCTGTGAAAGGCCTTTTTAATTTGTGCTGTCAGTTTTTAAAAGATGTAAAATGTATGTACAGTATGTCAAACAGCCTGGTTCACCTCCATTCTGTGTTTTAGTTTAGGAATTTGTATCTTTGCTCTTTCTTGTTTTTCCTGAAGGTCATCACCACCAACTAATCCTACTATATTTTATTTTTTTTATCTAGATTTTGATGCAAACAACATCTTCAGGGCTTTCTTTGGTGGCCATGGTGGGGGATTTACTTTCGATTCCAGTCCTGGTATGTTTTTTTTTTTTCCACCATTGCAAATATCCTTTAGTTCGGTGGTTTTCACTGAAAACCTGGGGGGGGGCATCAGAGGAGGTGCAGTGTAGGAAAAAATAACTGTAAACATCAAACTTCAACTCGGTTATAGGGATGGGCAATAGTTTTCAAATATTTGAAATTTTCAATAAAAATTTTTTTTATATTTCATGCAAGTGTGGTTTTGTCTTTAAAAACAAAGCCACTGTTTTCTCTTGCTTTTACCCGTGCCAGGAAATAACGTGATAACGAGGTCAGTATATCATTTTAACAGCAGAAACATGCAGAGGCTACAGCCATCAAAAAAAATCTGTGTGGAACTTTGTCAAGAAAATAAATAAAATAATTGTCAAATAGTTCCCAGCGAACATCAAATAGTATTTTAGCTTGAAATGGCCATCCCTACTTGGCTGTGTGTGGAGCAGAATGGATCGATTTGTAATGCCTACAGTGGGAGAGGAGACAGACCCCTGTTTTAGTCTATTGACGTATAGAAGAATCAATTAGACAAAGTTCATTTTATTAACCAACTTCTTTTTTTTTTCCCCCTCTCAGACTCGCAGCCCGGAAACTTCTTTTTTCAGTTTGGCTAAAGTGAAGAGGCATGTAGAAAGTAGAGGCAAAATAGAGCCCTGCACTGGACAAAATCAAGTTGGACCAACGGTCATCTCCTGATGCTTACACTCCTAAGTGTTGTGCAGAATCTCCCAATAATTCTTTATACAGAGATGTTTTTATTATTGCATCACTCCTGATGCTACGTTCATGCTAACACACATTGGGAAGGATTGTTCAGAGGTTTTAGTTATGAATTAACATTGTAAATAAATAAGTACACAAGGCATTTTTGAGTAGGCTTTGATCAACTGAAGAAAACATATCACTATTGCCAAAATCAAAGTACTAAATGAAATATTGTAAAACTGCTTGACCTTCATAGAGGTGATCAGTGTACTGTAAGAGATACATTGGAAATGTATGGTTAATTATTTGGAGTCTTCATTACATGGTGTACATTTTTAAGGTTCTCCTGGGACAGTATGTCTCGACAGATAAAGAGCATGTGTACTGTGAAAGTTCTTTGTCAAAACTGACCTCAGGACAGCCTGTTCAGGACAACACTGGTCTCTTGTGTGTCCAAAAATATAGAATCAACAGGCAGGGTTTTTGTTTCTTCTCCTCTTCCTCATGCTGCATTGTATATTTGACTCGAATGTAAAGTGTTTTCCATAAACTTTTCCATCGTCAGTCTTCCCTTGGTCTATTTTAATTTATTGTACTGTATATTCAAAACTGTATGCAGCAGAACGCCAGCCTCCCCAAAGAGACTCATTTGTAAATGCATTCCATGTTGTTGCATTCACTTTTAATTTGTGCGCGTTAATTTTTTCTGTAGCAGGTCAGCGTCAACATACATTTTTCTTCTGTTGAAAGCACCAAACACACACGTCTTACTATCCCCATTCTTATGGCACCTTACAAGAATGAGCCAACTCAAAAAACATCATATTAGCAAAGGGCAACAGTTACACTTGTGTAGCATGTTTTTCTGTTTAGTTTTGTGGACTTTCATAGGAAAACCTTTTTCATGTCTCGCAAGTAAATTGAATTTATCAAGTGACATCATCCAGTCAGACATTGGAACAGTTTTGTTTCATGTTGTCATCACTGGTCACACCTAGCTGTCATTGGCTGTCATCCACCTATATTTGTCTTGCATGTTTTAAGTATAGCATTTTCACCTACTTGTTCCGCCTGTTTCAAGGGACACAGATAACAGGTTGGACGCTTCTATTGGTAATTATTCTGTCACTGGTCTATGTTTAAAAAAAAAAAAACTTGTCACAGTATTACCAAGACATGCTTTTTTAATTGCGAAAATAAATGCTTGTCTTTTACTTGAATGTTGTACTTATTTATATATGTATATATAAAATTGACACAGTCAGATCCCCCTGTTTGAGCAACCTGCTACAGTGTTTCTTCCACTCCCTCTAGAAAATAAATGCTTGTCTTTTACTTGAATGTTGTACTTATTTATATATGTATATATAAAATTGACACAGTCAGATCCCCCTGTTTGAGCAACCTGCTACAGTGTTTCTTCCACTCTCTATAGTCTTCAGAAACAGCTTAAGCAACTTTTGACTTCATTACTTATTTTTCCCGTGATGTTTTGGCACTAAATAAACTAAAACCATAAATTGCGCGGAAACTGACAATTCTTGCGCATAAAATTGTTTCAGTTACCAGGTGAAATATAACTCCTGTTAAGAATTAAAAGTTATTACTGACAGTGGTGGACGATGTATTTGGATCTAATTTAACGGATTAACTAGAAGAGAAATATAAAACGTTTCTTTTTTTAAACCAATAGTTATTATAAACTCCACAGTTTTATAGTAGTCTAATATTATAAAGATGTGGGTGTACCTGACATGACCACGTGATCCCATTTAAGCCTATCACGGCGCTGCAAGGACGTGTACACTGTCGCAAGATTATGGCGAGACAGGAGGAGAGTGAGGTGGCGATATAGTAAGACGTGAGTCTTTAGCGGTGTCATTTGTCACCAGGACGCGATTCTTGTATTTGAGTACGGTGTAACTTTCATTGATAAGGTAAGCGCTTTCACTCATTTATTTTCCGCACTAGCGTTAGTCGGTGTTTTGAGTACCAGTTAGCTTAGCTGCACTGCTGTGAGGCTACGACAGTTAGCCTGTCAGTCAATCGGGAATTGTGGTTGTCGGTGTGAGATGCTGTGAGGTTTGACAGCCTAAACTGGAGTTATTGTCATCCTGACAGAGGCAGAAGAGATACAGCTCTTTCCTGCATTGTTTTCTTTAGTGGTTAGTGCTTGAAATTAAGTTTATGCCTAAAACCGAAATGATTAATTGACTCATCACTAGCTGGGAAAAGAGCTTATTAATTACAGACTGACTTCACTTTGCATCATCTGCAAACAGAAAGCCTATTCATGCCTCATATGCTGTTTGCTGTAGTGTTACCGCCCGTCTTTTTATCGTTGTTCCAGTCTAGGAAGTAGTTCCTTATTTACATACAACCAGCAATATACAGTTTTTGAACTTGCCTGGCTAGTTTGTTCAGGCTTCAGTCTGAGGGGTGGGTGTGGTAGCTGGTACAAGAGTTTCATTCACTTTGCATTGGCCTGACGCACATGCTGTAGCATCGGAAAGGTAATGCTAAAGCACTGCTGAGTTCACCAAGCAGCAGCTACCTGAAGCAGCCACCCCTCGCTGGCCCATGTGTGATTCTGCCACCTCCAAATGCAGCTTCCTTTGTCATGGGGGCATGTACAGTAGATTTCACGGCCCAACAGTTTCAAACAGTGGACGAGACCCGTGGATCGTGGCAGGCTAAATACTGGGACATCTACCTGCATGATAGCCTGTTCAGGAAAATCCTATCTACTGTTCCCAGGTTAGATTTCACAGACGGTGTTGCCGAAGTAGAAGCTGCTACCAAAAAAAAAAACACTGCTTGAATTTCACAAGATGAAATGCAGCCATTAGAAAATGTTATCAGTGAAACAGAGGCAGATAAGATGCAAATTATCAGTCCTCACTGCTTATTTTTGTTTGGCAAACTTAAATGATGGGAGGCGTAATGGTTTGGGATGGCACCCATATAACTTTGCTTTGGCCATCAGAATTTCCTGCGTTGTTTCGTTAAATTAGTGCTGTAAACCTTAGGCCAAATGAAACATGACTTGCAGAAAAGGTGGGTGGATGTGTTTGTTAGTTAATGCAGCGTTAGCATCGGCTCAGCAGGTCTAACAACATATGGTGATGTGTTAAACAGGAATGTCAGGTCAGTCCGTGCAACTGGTTGTTGGTGTGTTGGGTCATGACATCTTCTTTTCAGATGCACTTATTGCTGTGTGATTCCCAAACATGTAAACTGTTAAAGTACTGTAGTTCAGTGACTGCAGTAAGTTATAATAACCACAGGTTGATCATAGACTGGCCATTTAACAGTATACACACTGTTAAATGGTTTAAGGTGCAACTGGATGCTTGCTTATTGTTGTACCTCCCATTTTAAGCTTCAGAATAGAGGAACATATCAATGTGAGTAGTCAATACAAAATAATTAGAAAAGTACTATGAGTTAGTACATTTCAGTATTTATATTGTGCCCAAGGGATAAGCTGTTTTTTAAGGTGGGTTCTGATGCATAAAGTCATCTGTAGGTGTTAATCAACAAAGGTAAAGTAGATCTTTTTGGATTTCAATGAAAAACTACAAAGACAAATATCATTTTATATTTTGTTAACTGCCTTCTTGGGTAGTTGAATGTGCTGGATAAGTATGTGGCCATGAAACAGTTGGGGAATTATTTTACAGTTCAGCTGAGTGATAGCACAGCAGTATGTTCTGTCACAGGAAGAAATCTCAAACACAGATAAGTATTGCTAGTAAGATATCAGAAAGCTTTAGAAGGCCAATTTGCTTGAATTCCACAAAACATGCAGTAGTCAGTCTGACTTTGTAAACCATTACTGTGATAGTTTAACCTTTAAACTGTAGCACAGCGATGGTGCGTGTGCACAGAACCTGGGTTTATTTTCCAGGTTTCAGTTTTTTTCCATATAACCAGGTACATTCAATTACATCATAATGTGTACAGAAATTTTGCTCTGGGCTTGATCATAACCCCAGTCCCAATTTATGTTGAAAATCACAACTGGGTTTCCCTGTAGTTTCTAGTTGCTCAGTATGCAGAGATGCTTGGTTTTTCTTTTAACTATCAACACATACAGAACACATGATGAAGTTAGGACTAACTAACTTTGGCTGCCTTTCCTAAAGTTCCTGTGCTGCCCAGCCCTGCCATGTCAGCGAAAGCCATCTCAGAGCAGACAGGAAAAGAGTTCCTGTACAAGTATATGTGCACCTCAGCGGCCGTTCAGAACCGCTCACTCTGTGCCAGTGTAACTGCTGAGACTGACTGGGGCCGCCTCACACAAGAACATCCATGGCTGCTGACGAAGGTAAAGCTGCTGCGACAGGCCCTGTACTACATCATGAACTAGCTATGGTAGCTACTTCTTTACTTGTAAAATAGGCAATAAATGCAGAGAAATATCCATTCAGCTGTTTGATTAGCTTCGCAATAATAAGTCATACAAATGTTTTTCCAAACACTGGTGCTGCCAGCTTATATTTCATTTTGAGATTAAGATACCTATCCTTTTATTTTTTTCAGCGCATTTTTAGATTCATTTGGCTTAGTTGTTCCTCAAAAACAAATAGACGTTTATATGGTAGACAAAACCCTCACCCAGGAAGAGCTGGGCAATCTTACTGGGGAGAGGGATGTCTGGGTTGTCTTGCCTTGTTGCCAATGAGACCTGACTCTGGATAAGTGGCAGAAAATGGAGAGGTGGAAGGATTGAATATAACACCTGCATGAGGAAAACTTATTTTTTTTTTTTTTGTAATGGAAAATCCTGTGATACCAGCAGCCTATTTATTTTGACCAGGTTTTAGTTTGATTTAGTTAACACCAGTATTTATCTGTAGCGTTTATGTAATAGCTGACTGTGTCTTCCACTTTGTCCCATTGTAGCGGCTGGTGGTGAAGCCAGATCAACTAATTAAGCGGCGTGGGAAGCTCGGCCTGGTGGGCATCAACCTGGACCTGCAGGGCGTCCAGCAGTGGCTGAAAGCCCATCTCATGAGAGAGACCACTGTGAGTTGACTGTAATTTAATCATCTCACCTCTACCCAGGACAATATCCTTAATTTACTTTACCATTGTACATGACAATGACAGTAAATTCATGTTCTGTAGTTTTCCTGTCAAATATATAACTAGGTTTAACTAGCATGTTTGTGGCTTACAACCCTTGTTTTGAATAGGTGGGAAAGGCAAAGGGTATACTGAAGAACTTCCTTATTGAGCCATTTGTGCCACACACCCAGGTAATGCCTGCCAGCTTCTTGTGTTGCGTCTCTCCACATCCTGTTTGTTAAAGCCAAATTTATCAGCATAGCCTTTAATCAGAGATACAGTTTCAAAGAGCTTCAAGGCCAACACTAACTAAGGAAACAAGTTGTCAACCTTGTCAGCAGGACAATGAAACATCCAGGGCTGACATACAGAAGTTGTGTTCTATATTTGGTTCGGTATACATGTTGAGTTCTTCATGTGTTTGTGAAAGGAACAAGCTTAGCAAAATGGCACTGCAGTATGTTTATTATGCAGTTGTCACTCATGAATGTGTGAGAAAATGTGCCTGTATGAAGGTCAGTTAGGTTTTTGAAGCCACATTTTTGCACAAGTTAGCCCTTTAAAATTAAGTGAGAATGCCCCCTCTGCTGTCTGCAAGGTGAATGTATGTACATTTCTTGGAGTTTCCCTGCATTTACACTAACTCTCTACTGGCTCACCTAGGAGGAGGAGTTTTATGTGTGTATTTATGCCACACGTGAGGGCGACCATGTGCTCTTCCACCACGAGGGAGGGGTGGAGGTGGGTGATGTGGATGCCAAGGCACAAAGGCTGATGGTTGCAGTTGATGACAAGCTGAGTGATGCCCAAGTCACAGAGCAGCTCCTCACACATGTTCCTGATGATAAAAAAGAGTATGGATACTCACCCTTTTTTCTTTGTTATTTAACATGTAGACTTGACTGGTTGCAAATGAGACATAAGGTTATCAGATAAGGATTTCTATTTTTTACCTTTTTACCCTTGTTGTTGAGTGTTCTTGAGCATTGTGTTTTGGTTTCTCACAACCTGTGCCCTTGGACATAAAGTGTAAAACACTGAGAATTTTATCACAGTTTAACTGTGTATTGTTTGCCATAATTAACAATACACAATTAAAAGTGCCAAAGAATGAGTAAGCGTTTCTGTTCAGATTAAATGATATTTCACCCATTATCTGGCCCCATAGAGGGGTATCAGGCCATGCTGTCATAAATCTTCAGGACTTTATAGCAAGCTACACTATTTTCCACCACTGACCTATTACATATTGCACATCCACTGATTTCATAGATGCCATTACAAGGGTATATTATGGGCCATTTTGTTAACTAAAACCCAGTGGTAACAGCAGATGTAATTTGGATGGGTATTTAGTTCTCTTCTAAGACTTGCCTTTGTTCTCACTGCTGTTACTTCTTCTTCTTTTTACTTTTATTTTTCCTCTTTAAAGGGTCCTGGCCAGTTTTATAGTGGGGCTCTTCAGCTTATACGAGGACCTCTATTTCACCTACCTTGAGATCAACCCACTTGGTAAGTTTTTCTAAACTTTAAAGATTGCATCTCTTCATTATGTATTTTGTACATAGGATTCATAGAAGTGTTATTCCTCTGTTTGGGGAAAACATGAATGGTTTTTATTCTATAATAACACCATTTGTGCATATCCAATATTTAAAAGCATGGATGAATTATTTTTTAAGGGAATTTTTGTGCATATTTTTGTCAAGTCGGAATGAGCACATTTACCCCAAAGACTTTTCTGTGGAGAATGTCAAATGAACGAATTGAACGAATAACTTAACTTCTTATTCTGTTATCTAGTCGTCACCGGTGATGGAGTTTATATCCTTGATATGGCCGCCAAGATTGATGCCACAGCAGAGTACATCTGCAAGGCTAAATGGGGGGATGTGGAGTTTCCACCGCCATTTGGAAGAGAAGCATATCCAGAGGTAAGTTCTGAAGGACAGTAAATTAGGTTTTTGTATCAGTGTCTGTTAATATGTAGTGACTTATAGTAGCCAGTTTGTTTTCTGCTTTCTTATTGTTTAATCACATTTAATGTACAAGTGGAAGGTTTGTTTGACTTCACAGATACATTTGGTTTTAATGGCTGCATACCTAATAATCTTTAAATCATTTTACATTCAAATATTTACTACCCGTTTTTTTTTTTTTGTTTGTTTGTTTGTTTTACTACCCTGAGAAAGACATGCATCAAATTTGGTCACATAAAGTAACACCCTGACATTGATTAACACAGATTTAAATGCACGAGTACCTTAAGTTTCGGTTTATGCCCCCTTGTGCACTCATTGACCAGCATGACCACAACATGTTTTGCCATGTGTAGGAGGCCTATATAGCTGATCTGGATGCAAAGAGTGGTGCCAGTCTAAAGCTGACCCTGCTGAATCCTTGTGGCAGGATCTGGACCATGGTGGCTGGAGGAGGGGCCTCTGTAGTCTACAGGTAGTCCGTTGATCTGTAGGCTTTATGAGATTTTGTAGGTAACAGAAACTATTCATAGTGCTTTTGGTTTTTGAAAAATGTGATGCAATACACGCATTCTGTGCCACTTGGCTTTCCTCCACGGCATGGTTACACTTTGACACTTTATAATTATTTATACATGAAAGAATCAACTAGAATAAGGATACAGTACTTGACTGACTCTCTTCTTTAGCGACACTATCTGTGACCTGGGTGGGGTGGATGAACTGGCTAACTATGGCGAGTACTCTGGTGCACCCAGTGAACAACAGACATATGACTACGCCAAAACCATTCTCTCCCTCATGACACGGAAGAAACACCCTCAAGGTGGGTACACCCAACAAGTCATTGAGGTTAAAAAAAACGAAAGTGGGTTAATGTTTTCAGATAAATTTGATGTTTCTAAGGGACTTGGCCGAGTTGGATTATTCATCTGTAAGGTGATCTGTCGATTCTCCTACAGTGTGTCTGACTATGTTACTGGAGTGTCAACGGAGTGTCAACTTTCACTTAAAAAAAAAGTCTTAACCTGCCACTCCCTCTCTGTGTCCTGCAGGAAAAATACTGATAATAGGAGGAAGTATTGCCAACTTCACCAACGTAGCAGCCACATTCAAGGTGAAACTCATGCATTTATCTGTAACTGTACAAAGTAAATCATGTTAACTTTAAAGGTTATCACAGGGCTCTCTGTGTGATTAAGTCAGTGAAATTTGTATAATTTTTTCTTAAGAGTTAAAAAACAAAACCCATCACAGTATTTTCTTTGAAGCTATTGCAAAAACATGCTTTGTAGCATGTTTTTAGATTGGCAGAGCTACTACAGCTTGATTTCCTTTGTGAGAAGCCCAGATTAATCTTGTATTTATATCCATAAAGTATTTTAAGATGGCAGCAGACATAGTACCGCTACCTCATGGGTTTTAGATCTGTTTGAAATTTAATGTTCAGTACTTAAAGGTCAACTAGAGTCCAGTTTAAAGCACATTACCTACTCTACTCTGTGCTGCCTAATTGTACATACAATACCTCCTCCTGTGTTCCTTTGGGCACAGTCCTACATTATGACACATGAAAAACACACGGCAACATTTTGATAAGTAAAATGTTATAGTAGACAGCATCAACGTGTGTGTGTGTGTGCGCACGCGTGCGTGTGGATGAAGCAGTCATCATAGGAAACTAAAGAGATTTTTAATCTGGCTTCCTGATTTAGACAAACTGTTATTCACTAAAACTTTACTGGCAGTGCTTGTGAGTCACTCTTACATAAACAAACTGTTTGTGATCTGCCTGTTTCTTCCCTCAGGGCATTGTCAGGGCCATTAAAGACTATCTAGGTCCACTGAAGGAGCATGAAGTCACCATCTTTGTTCGACGAGGTGGACCCAACTACCAGGAGGGGCTGAGGGTGATGGGTGAAGTGGGTGAGTGTAACTGAACTGAGAATCATAGGAACTAGACTGACTGTTGTATGTAGCTTGTTATTTTGGAAATGGTTGATGTGAAGTGATTTGAAGGAATAATTTGATTTTGCAATGCACGTGTGGTGTGAGGGCTTGGGTACCACTTAAAACAAGGTTCTTTATTATAGCTGAATGAGCAGATGTTTTTGTTTCTGCAGGGAAGACCACAGGGATTCCCATCCATGTTTTTGGTACAGAAACTCACATGACGGCCATCGTTGGAATGGCCCTGGGCCACCGGCCAATCCCTAACCAGCCCCCGGTGGATGCACATACTGCCAACTTCCTCCTTAATGCCAGCAGCAGTCCAATGGTATTTTCATTCAGTAACATACTAAGGGGGGAAAAAGGGGGGTGGTTAGCAAGTTTGATTTGTGACTCTTCTAAGCAGATTACAAATGTTGCATTGTTTGAAACATGCCTGGTAACATCATGTGCTGTCCACTGAGTTAAATAATCTATTCTAAGTATAATTCCATTTCACTAATGTCACAGTTTGCAAGTCTATTCACTTACTTGTGATGCAGTTTAGTCATGCATGTCCAAACACTGTTTAAGCTTTGAAAGGCCTGAACTTTGGAGCTTGTTTGAGTAGCTCTGTTGTTCTCTTCATGTAGTTTCTGTGCTCTTTGGGCTCTTTTGTTAGCTGTTGGCTAAATGTTGGTTGGTTTTTTTTGTTGTTGTTGGTTTTTGTCCACTAAAGTCCTAAAAGGTGTGGAAAAATGTAATTATTTATGCTATTAGTAAATGGAAAGAGAAGTTTGTTAGTTACCATTTCTCCTTGTTAAGCTTTGAATAACTTTTTTCTTTCACCAGACTCCAGCTACAACAAGGACCGCTTCATTCTCTGAACCCAGGACATCTAATGATGTCACCCCAGCAAAAAAGTCTAAAGCAGGTCTTCCAGCAGGTAAATGATGTAGTAGCAATCATCCTTCCAGTGCTTTGTATCAGCAAGACTCCATATACAGTATATTCATACACTTATGTTTTTTTATTTCTCTTATCCTTGCTTTGTGAATTTCACTCTTCCTTCCCCCATATGCTGCCACTGCTATTTTGCATTTTAAATGTCTTTTTGTTTATTCTTCCTCTTCTTGATTTGCTGCACACACTATTTGTCTCTTTCATGCTTGTTTCTCTAAGAGACTCTTCATTCTATAATGTGGCCTCTGAAGAATATGGTCACAGACAGTTGGGAAGGTGAGTGATAGGTGTGCTGTGCTCAGCTGCCCACACACTCTATGGGTTGGCCACTCTTCCTTTTTTCACCCTCCTGATTCTGATAGAAAGGTGTGTGTGTGTGTGTGTAACAGCTACATGCTTGCATCAGCTCACCTTCAGTGTTATGGATGGGTTACATAAATCTAAGAATAAATTAAAAGTGTAGATAATCTACAGAATAAGAATTTCATTTAATTTTCGATGCTGAGAAGGGTTGTGTGCTAGGAGTAATTTGATTGTAGCATTAAAAGCCAAACGTTCAGCACAGATTTCGATTGTTGCTTTGGTCACTTAAAGGTGCAGTGTGTGAGAATTAGTGGTCAGTTTGCAGAAGGCACAGCTCTCGTACATCATGTTTAAACAGTCCTCACAGCTGTTTACTGTAAATGAAGGACAAGTTGTGCACTCAAAAAAATAACTGTAGCTGATTTGAGCAAGCAAAAGCTAACTGTGGCTGACTTGACCTCCAGTGGGTTACTCAGCACTGGCCAAGTTCTAACTAAAGCTGTCAAACAAAAACTTGCATTTAGGTTAACTTGTTAGGTTAAATTACCTGTCCATCTGAAGGGCTTTGGTGTCCTTCATCAAGGATTTCCCTCTGGGAAAGGCCACATCAGTGTTTATCCTTGTCTCATGCTGTCCCGTTTCTTCATTGTTTGCTTATTTGATGACAGGGATTCACGGTCTTCCTTTTTGTTGTTAAAGTAGAAGTATGATCCTCCATTTCTTTAAATTATAGTTCTTAAACTTGCAACGATGCTTCCTCCTTAATGCTTCTTCTTCATCTTCCAAATGTCTTCAAATCCAAGCTGCTACGTGAATGTGAAAACACAAAATTCACACTTTAGAGCCAGTGTGTGGTTTGTCTGTTCTGGGCTACTGTAAAAAAACGAAAATGCAGTGGCTCAACATGGCAGCCTCCGTGATAGGGGACTCGCTCCTATGTACAGTCTTATGCAAAAGTTTAGGCACCCGTTGATAAATAACAGATTTTGGTGATTTTTTTATTTGAACAGATGTTAACACAGTTTCTCTTGGAAATGGAAAAAATGCACAATATTTTCTGCAAACAGTGATGCATAGTTACTTCTTATGCCATAAATTGAACAAAAATAAAAAATAAAAACATTATTATGGCATGGTGCAAAAGTTTGGGCACCCTACACAATCAGTACTTAGTAACACCTCCTCTGGCAGATATCACAGCTTGCAAACGCTTTTCATAGCCAGCTAAAAGTCTTTCAATTCTTGTACTTGGGATCTTCTCCCATTCTTCCTTGCAAAAGGCTTCTAGTTCTGTAATATTCTTTGGTCGTCTTGCATGCACAGCTCTTTTAAGATCTACCCACAAATTTTCAATGATGTTTAAATCAGGGGACTGTGATGGCCATTCCAAAACCTTCAGCCTGCGTCTCTTGAGGTATTCCATAGTGGATTTCGAGGTATGTTTAGGATCATTGTCCTGTTGTAGAAGCCATCCTCTTTTCAGCTTCAGCTTTTTTACAGATGGTGTGATGTTTGCTTCCAGAATTTGCTGGTATTTAGTGGAATCCATTCTTCCCTCCACCCGTGCAATGTTTCCTGTGCCACTGGCTGCAACACAACCCCAGAGCATGATAGATCCACCCCCATGCTTAATAGTTGGCAAGGTGTTCTTTTCATGAAATGCTGCTCCTTTTTTTCTCCAAACATGCCTTTGCTGATTGTGTCCAAAGAGTTCTATTTTAACTTCATCAGTCCACAGCACTTGTTTCCAAAACGCATCGGGCTTCTGTAGATGTCCTGTTGCATACTTCAGATGTTGGATTTTATGATGGGGACGCAGATAAGGTTTTCTTCTGCTGACTCTTCCATGAAGGCCTTGTCTGTGCAAGCATCGCTGCACAGTGGAACGGTGCACCACCACTCCTGAGTCTGCTAAATCTTCCTGCAGGTTTTTTGCAGTCAAATGGGGGTTTTGATTTGTCTTTCTGACCAGCATACGAGCAGTTCTGTCCGAGAGTTTTCTTGGTCTTCCAGATCTCATCTTGACCTCCACAGTTCCCCTGATCTGCCATCTCTTAATTACATTTCTTACTGTGGAAACTGCAAGCTGACAACGCTTTGCTATCTTCTTGTAGCCTTCTCCTGCATTGTGGGCGTCAATAACTTTCATTTTCAGGGTCTTACACAGCTGCTTAGAGGAACCCATGGTTGCTGGGTGTCCACAAGTGTGTGCACAAGGTTTGAAGAGTCAAAGTATTTGTACAGCTTTGAAATTGGCATTTACCAATGACAGCTGTTGCTGTGCATCAGATCTAACGAGCTGATTAAGGTCTGATACCTTGTGAGAGACTTTGAGACTCTGGAACTCTTAGGGTGCCCAAACTTTTGCACCATGCCATAATAATGTTTTTATTTTTTATTTTTGTTCAATTTATGGCATAAGAAGTAACTATGCATCACTGTTTGCTGAAAATATTGTGCATTTTTTCCATTTCCAAGAGAAACTGTGTTAACATCTGTTCAAATAAAAAATCACCAAAATCTGTTATCAACGGGTGCCTAAACTTTTGCATAAGACTGTAGATATAAAAAAGCTCATTTTAAGCTAAAGAAAATGTGACAATTCTTGTATTCCAGTGATTACACATTAATGAAAATGTAATTATGCATACATACATACATACATACATACATAGCAGAAAATAATACATTTCAAGTGACATACTATACATAAATTTGATATTGTTTCCCAGGTTGGTGGTATCAAGCTGGGCTGTTTTTAAGATCAGCAACACGGGTGGCATGCTGAGCCAATTTTTGCTCATAAATCTAGATCTTACACAGGGCACCTTTAACTATACTTTGCATTTTATAGCAGCACAGATAAAGCATGGCCTGTAGCAGCTGAGCTTTGCATGCTTGTTCCTCTGTGTTGTGCTGGCTTCAGAGATGACACAGTTTCCACAGTGCATTGAAGTGTGGTCAGTGAAAAAGGTACATTAAAGATGAACTCATTCTTTTCTCTTTTTTTGTGCTTATTTTGCGTTTCCTCTCCTGTGTGGTCACAGAAGTGCAAGCCTCTTCAGGCTGTAGCAGAGGTATGGAAGGGTGTAAATAGCCTGTCTTCCTGCCCTCTATCCACTTCCCAATTTGAGTGTTATTTGTTTCTCCACAGTTTGTCCTTTTTCACATCCTTATGGTGACTTGCTCACTTTAAGAGCAGCTTTTTTTTGTTTGTTTGTTTTTTTTTTTTGTTTTTGTTTATATCACTAAACTTAAATTGGTTAAAGGGGAGTGTTGTGAAATGGCAATAATTTATTAACACAAGAATTACCTTGTAAGAGTACCTTGAGGCAAAACATGAACTATTGTTGTTGGTTGAAATTGATCAGTTCAACACAGTATGTGGTTTCCTTAAGGCCCGTTTCATCATAAAACACTGTGAAACATGTAACAACAGAAGGCAGTGAGCCTGGGCAGAGAAGAGGAGAGACTTGGGAGGACTGGAACAAATGTGTAAACAACTAACGCTTTAAACCATGTGCAATATGACATTCTGCTTTCAAAACCGAGCACTTGACACGCTTCAGATCTGTTGCAGAGAAACAGATTTTACTATGACTAATCTGCCTGGACATAGACATTGAACATTTTCAGGTCCTCTGGGTTTTTTATTTTATGGCAGGGGAAAAAAAACTTCCTGTTTCATTTTCACATAGAAAGTATGGAAGTAAAACCACTTTTGGCACTTTATTAACAACTTTAAGAAATGCTAAATATTTTGTGTTTAATAGACAAATACATTAGCAGAAAAATTCCTTGATGGCTCACACTAGCTTCTTCCCTGCAAGGGAATGAGGTTGCCGGTTGTTTTATCTAAACTTCTGAGAATGGAAAGTGGTTTTGTGTTGGGTGGGGGGTTTTTAATTGAGCTTCAGACAGTGTGACTCAAAGGGACCCATATCAGGTTCTAATTTTAACATTGTGAGGTCACAAATTAATATTTTTAACAGTGTGGCTTAGAGGGGGTGGACAAAATAATGGGCTGAGTAACGTAATTGTACTTACAAATGTGAATTATATTAGATTGAATGCTTATCAGCAGCAGATGTCTGTACGCAGAATTATGTTGGATATAGCAAAATTGGATGATTGGAAAAATCTGAACATATTTTATGACTCTCCCTCCTAATGTAGGAATGTTTGCAAGGGTGATTTTTGTTGCAACAAAGTCAAAAACAGTCAATTATTTTCTCTCCCTCCAGTATCTCTGACGTACGTGTCTGTTACATCACCATTCGTGTATTTTTCCTAACCTCAACTGCCCCCTCTTCTCTTCTGTGATTATTTTTGTTTCTCCCTCTCCCCTTTCATTGTTTTAGCTAAAGCTACCACACTCTTCAGAAAAGACACCAAGACCATTGTCTGGGGCATGCAGACCCGAGCCGTGCAAGGTATGCTGGACTTTGACTACGTCTGCTCCCGGGAACAACCCTCTGTGGCTGCCATGGTCTACCCTTTCACGTAGGTTCTTAAGTTTCTCTGAACCGAGTTCAGCTACAAGACTCAGTGTTCCACTCACTAAGGACATTTCTATGCTGTTACAACAAAGTGTTCTTTTGTTGTTGCAGCTCAAATTTTGATCCATGGTTTTAATGGATAAACTGCACAGACTGTGTTTTCACAAACCAACCAGGATGACAAACTTATTTTTTTATAACTTGTGTGAAGGTTTCCCCACCCTCTTTTCTTGCTTTAAAATGTCTCATCTTTTTTAAATTACTCAACTCATATTTAATCTAGATAAAACATCTGTGATAAAGCCAGGTTAGCACAGTAAACAGCTGAAATTTCTTACCTTTTAGTAAAACCAAACCTACAAGATCTTAGACTTTTCATTGACAGGCTCTCGTATTCACAGCTTTTTGTAAAGTAAATTTGTTGTGAAAGTTTTAAAATTTGTCATGACAGAGTTTCAAATCTGAAAATCAGACACCTCTTGAAGTTAAAAATCTTACTTTATTTGTATCCTTCACATTTCCATGTTTCTCAGTGGGGATCACAAACAGAAATTTTATTGGGGCCACAAGGAGATCCTGATACCGGTCTACAAGAACATGGCCGATGCCATGAAGAAGCACCCCGAGGTGGACGTCATGATCAGCTTTGCCTCACTGCGCTCAGCCTTTGACAGCACAGTGGAGGCCATGCAGTACCCACAGGTAGACAGATGCACTGTAAAATGTTTACATTTAATCACATATATTTATCAGTGAATAAAGTTCTGTTGTTCCATCAGACATGAAAGTTACCTCCTTTTATTTGATTGTTTCCAGATCCACACCATTGCCATTATAGCTGAAGGCATCCCTGAAGCACAGACCAGGAAGATGATCAAGATGGCTGATGAGAAGGGCGTCACTATCATTGGCCCCGCCACAGTAAGCGGCCTTGTCACATCAAACGTGGTCATGAACTGAATATTTCAACTGCTACAATAGACTGTGAATGTCGAGGTCATCGTTTATATCAGAGTGTACAGATGTGTTTATCAGTGTAAGTAAGCAGAAAATAATACATTTCAAGTGACATACTATACATTTGATATCATTTCCCAGGTTGGTGGTATCAAGCCGGGCTGTTTTAAGATCGGCAACACGGGTGGCATGCTGGACAACATCCTGGCTTCCAAACTTTACCGTCCTGGCAGTGTGGCCTATGTGTCACGCTCTGGGGGGATGTCTAACGAGCTGAACAACATCATCTCCCGCACCACAGATGGCGTCTACGAAGGCGTGGCCATTGGAGGAGACAGGTACAAGAAGTTAACTTACTTAGGGGACAGAGTAGGAAGTCCTTTTGAAGACTGATGTGATTTTTATAATTTATTCTTTCTCTGCTGAACTGTATTGTTTGAAATGCTTTTTAAAGTCTTTATTTTGATTCTCTTTGTCCAGATATCCAGGCTCAACCTTCATGGACCATGTTCTTCGTTACCAGGACACTCCAGGGGTCGAGATGATAGTGGTGCTGGGAGAGGTGGGAGTAGCTTCTGAATGTTCACTTCTCAGATTAACTTCCACATGTAGTTTTTCTTTTTGGGTTTGTTTGTTTGTTTGAATTTTTTTATTTGGAGTATTTTGGTCATGCTCCATATAAAATTGTATGTATTTATTACAAATAGTTTGTGGGCAAAACCACTTCTCATTTTTAACATCTTTTACTTTGTCACCCAGATTGGAGGCACAGAAGAGTACAAGATCTGCCAAGGCATCAGAGAGGGCAGGATTACAAAGCCCATGGTGTGCTGGTGTATTGGAACCTGTGCCACCATGTTTGCTTCAGAGGTATGTTGGCTGTGCTGAAAAATTGGCTTTGGATTTTTATTTATAGGTGAGAATTCAGAGGCGGTGTATGCGTTTTTTTTTTTTGTTTTTTAAAGCTCAATCTGTAATGCTGTTACCTTCAGGTTCAGTTTGGCCATGCAGGGGCCTGTGCCCACCAGGCTTCAGAAACGGCACTAGCCAAGAACCAGGCTCTGAGGGATGCTGGAGCGTATGTACCAAAGAGTTTTGATGAGCTGGGGGACGTCATCAGGTGAGAAAGGCATTGCAAGATCATACGACGGAGTCACGGAATTGTTTTAAGGGTTTTCACTGACCTTGTGTGTGTGTGTATATATGGTGAAACAGGACTGTTTATAATGATCTGGTGGCCAAAGGTACAATCATCCCTGCCCAGGAGGTGCCACCCCCAACAGTACCTATGGATTACTCTTGGGCCAGGGTAAGAACTTTGGTCTTTACTACTTAGAAATAGAAGAATTATTTAACTGTATTGCATAGTACTAATATATGGATAATTCACTTTTTATTAAAGGTTTTTATTGTTTATATTTAGCATTTTTAGGATGAACATATAACATGCATAAACATTTATGACAAGGAGGTTTTAAGTTTGTTTATTAAAGAATTATGACCTTGGTGTGTACTGAATGAGACATTTTTACAGTCAAAATGTTGTACGTGTCAGTGCTCGGGTGGGCAAAATATGTAATGACCCCACTGATTCTATTACCTGAAACATCTGTGGCATTTCTGTACTGTAATTTAGTTTACATACAGGGCAGTATACAGCTATAGTGATCTCTGGTTCACACCAAGTGTTTTCACACAAACTATCTCTGTGTTAGAATCTCTCTTATTTGTTCATCTCTCTTTTGGTATTTCCAGGAGTTGGGCCTGATCCGTAAGCCAGCCTCTTTCATGACCAGCATCTGTGATGAGCGAGGCCAGGAGCTCCTCTATGCTGGCATGCCCATCACTGAGGTCTTTAAAGAGGAAATGGGTTTAGGAGGTGTGCTGGGCTTGCTGTGGTTCCAACGCAGGTTGGTGTTATTCAGCACCTGAGAGAAGAGGAGTTGGGTTTACTTTTTACAGAAATAACTTCAGTGGAATAAGCTGCACTGTGTTTCTGCCTAGATTGCCCCGCTATGCCTGCCAGTTCATTGAAATGTGCCTGATGGTGACTGCCGACCATGGGCCTGCCGTCTCGGGTGCACACAACACCATTGTCTGTGCTCGAGCTGGCAAAGATCTTATCTCAAGCCTCACATCTGGCCTGCTCACTATTGTTAGTATCACATACAGTGTCACTGTGGCATCACCTAAGATAACAGAAGTGATTAAAACTGAAAAATCCCGTGTGTGTGTGTGTGTGTTTTACAGCGTCAACTTTATTTGGCGTTACTACATACAGCTTGCAATGTGTTATTTTGAAATCCAGTGGGTATAATAAAGCTCTCAGCCTGGTCCAGGACCTTTCAAGCAAGTTGGGCCATATTTTGATTTAAAATTGGTTAAAACTAACAAACAATTCTCTACTAAATTACAGGGGGACCGTTTCGGAGGAGCCCTGGATGCAGCTGCAAAGCAGTTCAGCAAGGCATTTGACAGTGGCATGCTGCCCATGGAGTTTGTCAACAAGATGAAGAAGGATGGCAAACTGATCATGGGTATTGGCCACAGAGTCAAATCTGTAAGCAGCACTTGGCTTTTCACATTAGCTGGAGTTGCATAATCCTGCACTATAAATTGACATTTTTAGATTATACTACACAGTTAAGATTATATCATTGCTTTTGAATAATGGAGCATCTTCATTAACCAGATAAATTCAATAAAACAAGATATAGTATCCTTATTAAACAGTTCCTCTGTTTACAGATCAACAACCCAGACATGAGGGTGCAGATTCTAAAGGACTTTGTTAAGCAGCATTTCTCTTCCACTCAGCTACTCGACTACGCCCTAGATGTAGAGAAAATCACCACATCAAAGGTACTTTTCAAATGGCAATGTGAAGACTTTCTTCCAGTGGATATTTTGAAAAAGCAAAAGCCCTAATAAAATAGTTATGAAGGACAGGTTTGTCTGATAAACTACATAATCAGATAAGGAAAGGGGTCTACATATTGCCCGAATCTTCCAATAGGAGACACCATTTTGGACGGTATACAGAACCTTTCCTCACATTTCTATGTTACACTTGGGACAGAGGTTGGATGCCATACCAATAATCCTCTGAAATTTAGATAAATTCCTGTTTCTTATTTTCAGAAACCCAATCTGATCCTCAACGTAGATGGTTTCATTGGTGTCGCGTTTGTGGACCTGCTTAGGACATGCGGTGGCTTCACACGGTAATGAAAGCAAACTGCTACACCATGAAGAGACTGAGGTGCAAGTATCCTATGAGACATTTTTGTACACACAACCGCTTTGAATGGACATGTGGGGGGAGTCAGCAACTCGGCTTTAACACCCCCCATTTAGCATTTGGGCACATACAGTGTATATATAAACATTTAATAAATAGTTTACAACACTCTAATGTAGTTGGAAACAAATATGGACATTTTTACTGATTTGTAAACAATTTCCCCTACAGAGACATATTAGAACTGTCGTGTATACTGTATGGGTCCCCACAGGAGAAATTCAAGGTGTTGACAAATACAGTAATAAAGATTTATTGGCTTACAGCTACTGTATATGATCATGTGTAAAATGTATTGTTCATATATACATTTTGAAAGATTCTGATGCCAAAAGGACATTGTCTGTATTGTTGATAGTACACTGTCCAGTATTGTTTCTCACATGAATGTTGACCTGGTTCCAGAGATGAGGCTGATGAGTTCGTGGAAATCGGTGCACTAAATGGGATCTTTGTCCTCGGTCGGAGTATGGGCTTTATTGGTGAGCCTCGTGAATCAAATCATGACACTAGCTGTTGAAGTATTAAAACCAGACCTCTAACTTGTCTCTCTTACATTAGGTCATTACTTGGACCAGAAGAGGCTGAAACAGGGTTTATACCGCCACCCCTGGGATGACATCTCCTATGTGCTTCCTGAACATATGTCCATGTAATTCACATGTCACAGGATGGGATACATTTCCATCTGACTTAACATTTATGTACACTCCGGTTATGGCAACGGCTGACTTCGGAAAACTGGGCAGGATTATTCTGGAAAGTAAAGTACTGTGTGGCTGAGGAATCTAGGTAGAGGTTTTTCATCTCATTTTTACAGAGGAAAAAGGGGAAGTATATTTTTAGGTTTAGTTTTTTTTTGACAAGTGTTTTAAAGGGTATGAGATGTAACTTATTAAGTTTTGGACAAATCCAAACCAGTAGAAACTACAGCAGGAGCACCAAAACAACTGGCACATTAAAAAAAAAAATTACCGAAATCTGTTTGGTGTAGTTGGTACACGGAAAGGCTTGAAAATGCACCTGTGTTACAAAGTCTGACTAGTTAATCTGCAGTAAAGACCAATGGTGTGAAATTTGTTCAAGCTCAGCAATACAGTATATACAATAATGTCTTCTTTTTATACTACTCACAAAAATGATCCATGGTGTATTTTAATCAGCATTTGCCCCTTGTAGGCTACAGGAAGGTCTGCTTTAGTATTACACTTTTAGTTTTCACACTAAGAAGTCTAGAGCTCCTGAGTTTTCCCGGTTTCACTCCTACTCAGTTAAACCTGAGTTTATTTTTAGAAATTTGTCTTTGTATTAAAAAGGGTTCCAGTGGTAAATCTTAGTGTATTTAGAAGTTATATTTTGACAAGGAGGCATCTGATTGGGATAATAAATGAAAACACACGATGATTCAAGTGTCACTCCACTATTGCCTTTCCTAGAACAACCATGTTTATGACCCTGGTTGGAGACAAGTGGTTGAAATCCATCAGCTACTGTAAAATTAGTTAGTTGTTAGGTGATCGGATTTGTCACACAAAGTATCATTTGAATAACTTGTGTTGCTTTTCTGAATAACTGTTAGAAGACGGAAATGTAGAAGCATCAAAGACGAGCAAATAAAATGCTTCATGAATGGGTCCTGTGAGTCTTCAAAGCATCTGTTGGTGAGGGACCATGATAGCACTTTGCTTTACTTAAGTAAATTATTGCACAAAATATGGTCGTCAGCTTTGTGAAGGAGTTGTCCGGCATTCACTCTTAACGTGACGTGCACCTGGAACGCTTTGTAGCTGCCCATGGTACGGTCTACGTGTCTGATTTTGTTTTGATCTGTTTAACAGTGGAAGCCATGCTTTGTTTTTGTAACATTGTCATATAGTGGTATAATAATAAAGAACTTGTTGTTTTACTTTTCATTTTTGCTGAGGTTTGTTGATTTTGTTGTAGGTGAGGGTGTGTGATTGCTGAGCAGAGCTGATGAGCCTGAAACATGCTGTGAAGGGAAGTATCTGCAAATGTGGTATACAGGGGTAGAAACCAAAGGCTGCTCCACACTGGACATGAAGCAGGAGTCAAATTAGGTTTACATACAGTAGAGTTTTCATCTGTATTGGTGTATTACCAACGCTTTAGTTCCCCCAAAATGTATCAGTAATGTTAACTTTAACCCCCCCATTTATAAAAAACAAACATTTGAGTTATGTAACCCACTATAATGCAGCTAGTTTGAGGACCCTTCATTCAAAAAGGATTCTATAGAGGATGGTGGACTCCGGCAAGAGTCTGAAGACAACTTAACATTATGTCAAAGAAGAGGAGGAACTCTTAACCACGCAAAACAGATTAAAATTGTCCTTATTGTATTTTTGCTTTTGTCACATAAGGGGAAAAGTGTATTTCTTTTGCACCCAAATGCAACACCAATAACCTCTGCACAGGTACAGTTCATTAAATTATTTTTATAGGCTACCACTTGTGGATGAGGCACCTTCTACAAAGAGCTATTAAGTTAATTGACTTGTTAATCTAGTTGTAGCATTTAGTTTATAATGAAATTTTGTCCTGTAGCTCTTTTCCAGGCCTTACTGAAAGCCACGTGGAGTATTTGAGGATTTCCACAACCTGAAAACCCAAAGTTATGAATTTTATAACTGATCTGTGATTTGGAAATGAATTAACTAGTAATAGTCTTTGATTACAATTTATAAACCCTTGCCTTATAAGAAGGTGATACAATTTAACTTATGCGTTATAATCATCTTACAGGGGTCTGCTGGTACCCTAAATAAACATGAATAGTATTTAATAACCGATGTATGCTCATATAGGATATGCTATTAAGCTGGTAAGTAAGTGCACATCGCCAGGATGCAACACGCATGCGCAAAACCTTTGCATCCCTTAAAAGTTCCATTTCGGTCGAGTAAACACGTGTTAACGCGTCGTAGGCGAATAAAAAAACGTTAGCATCTTGGACTCTTCTGTCATAGTGTCAGGAGCGTGTATCTCCGGTGTGAACTGAGATATTAGCTCGAATCTGAGAGGCTCCTGTTGACGCTCCAGCAAAGATCCTGAAGACGGAAGTGTACGCTCCTGTTTTCCAGTCAGGGTTTTGAATGGTGCGCATGCATGTCCGTTTTTGAATGTTTGTTTACGTGTGTTATATACGTCTATGAGTTCTTTCCAAAGATAAGTCAGGGCTTTGGTTTGCCTCTAAGACGAGCCTCCTGTGGTATGGCAGCGGCAGCAGAAGGGCCGGAGGACTGCAGCAAGAGCAGCGGAGCGCTAACAGGTGACGGGGAACCTGAGGAGGCCGAGGAGTTCACCTGCTCGGCCTACTGCTCGGAGCTCTCCCGGCGACAGAACGAGCAGAGGAAGGCGGGGCTGTTCTGCGACTTGACGCTGGCTTTCAGGTCCAGGGGGCTGTCGGGGGAGAGGGTCCAAACCGTGTCCGCCCACCGCTCAGTTTTATCCGCAGCATCGCACTACTTCACGCTCCTGCTTGGCGGTCAGTTTTCAGAGTCTCAGTCGGAGCGAGTGGAGCTGAAAGAGTGGAGCTCGGAACCCGGCCCCAACCCAGAGACCGTGGAGCTTGTCATACAGTTCATGTACACAGGACAAATCAGGGTAACCACTGCCAATGTGCATGAAGTGTTGGAACTTGCTGACAGGTGATTATATTTGTTTACTTGTTTAATCTGAATCAGGAAAAGTGTATGACTTCAACTTGATTATAGGCGGAAGTGTTGAACAGTTGTCCCACAGGTCTGTGTTTGTTGTGGTGAATGAGCCACACCTTGTCATTACACAGCAGTGTGTTTGGGAGTGAGCACAGGTGACAGTTAATGTCTGCTATGCAAAAAAGGCCTGATATAAAAGATGTGCCGTTATAAATAATGGATTACACAATTTAGTTGCATCAGTATGACAGTTTAGTACTGCATGTCTAATAATATTTGAACAAGTAGTTTGAGGTGAGCTTTGTGAAAAACTCTGGATGTATTTTGGCTGGTACATTAAACAAGTTGTGCAGAAACTGGAGATTTTCTCACAAAGTAAGCCTTTGTTTCTTTCTGATTTTTTTTTTTTTTTAAAGTGAGCTTTAAAGTCACAATTCTGAGGAAAAAAGTCAGAACTCACTTTTTTTTTTAGAGTAGCCCTAAATCTCCTCTGTAGGAATTTATATCTATATTTATGATATTTTAGCATTTTGCTTAAGATTGTAAGAGATGTCCACAGTTTATGAGTATATTCCATGGAGAGTTTTGGTCAGGCCATTTTATTGTACTTATGTAAAGATGTACTGAAATCAGCTGCTGGAGTTTTTGGACTCCATAGTGTTGGTAGTCTCTGACACCTTATTGTAACCTTAGAGCTGAAGTGATTAGTTAATCGATTGACAGAATATTAATCGGCAACTAATTTGATAATTAATCACTGAAGTCATTTCTCAACCTTACGTTATCCTGCATTATTGTAACGTATCTTTATGTTTTAGACTGTATAAAAATAACACTGCAGTAACTGACAAGTCATATCCACTGTCATTAAGTTTTAAAATAATCTGAAACTTTTGACATCTACACTCTGTCAGGTTCCTGTTGGCGCAGTTGAAGAACTTCTGTGGAGAGTTTCTGTTGAAGAAGCTGAGCTTGTCCAACTGTGTGGCTGTGCACAGCCTCGCCCACATGTACACACTGGACCAGCTGGCCCTGGAAGCTGCTGAAACAATTAGAAGAAACTTCCACAAAATTATTCGCAATGAAGAATTCTACATGCTGCCATTTCACCTGGTGCGAGACTGGATGTCAGACTCTGAAATCACTGTGGATTCTGAACAGGAGCTGTTTGAGGCCATTACAAAATGGGTGCACCAAAACACAGAGGAGCGCCAGATGCATTATGAGGAGCTGTTCAGACTTTTAAGGCTGCCGCAGATTGCTCCTACCTACCTGACACGGGTGGTAAGAAAGGAGCCCTTGGTGGCAAACAATGCAGCTTGTCAGCAGCTGGTGTCTGACGCTCTTGAGCTCCATGCTGTTCATTCTGAGAGCCTCACGTCAGCTGATTCAGAGCTCTGTGCCTCCTCCAGGGCAGCGATCCAGCCACGTTTTGGTCAGAACATGGATGTAATCATGGTAGTGGGTGGTGTTTCAGAAGGTGGAGAGTATCTGAGTGAGTGTGTGGGCTACTTTGTTGCTGAGGATCGTTGGGTAAACTTACCACACATTCACAACCACCTTGACGGACATGCCATCGCAGTCACTGATAGCCATGTTTATGTGGCAGGATCCATGGAGCCAGGCTTCGCCAAGATGGTGGGGCGCTACAACCCCAGCCTCAACAGCTGGGAGCAGGTCAAAAGCCTGACCACCCGCAAACACTCATTCAGCCTCACATATGTCAAAGATGTACTCTACTGTATTGGTGGTCATGGCAACTTCAGTCCGGGCTTTAAGGATGTTAGTGTGTATGAGCCTGACCAGGATGAGTGGCACAATCTGGATCCGGCACCAAAGATACTACGAGATGTCAAAACAGTGAGTGTGGAGGACCGCTATGTGTATGTGATGGCCAGGACGCCTGTAGACATGGACAATGAGGATGGACTGAGCACTGTAACCACTTGCTATGATACAGAGAGTCACAAGTGGCAGGCGGTGCACTTGTTACCACTCATTGATAACTACTGTACTTTTCAAATGGCTGTTGCATCCACCAACTTCTACCACACAGCTTCCTGTTGTCCCAAGAACTACAAGGTAACAATTGAGGCTGCCCAGGAGAAAATTAGCAGGAACGTTTCAGAAGACATCCTCGACAGCCTCCCTCCAGAGGTCCTTAGTATGGAGGGTTCTGCTGTTTGCTACCTGGGTGAAGATATATTCATCATTGGTGGGTGGAGGAACAGCAACAACATTGAAAAGCAGTATCGGAAAGAGGTTTACCGTTACTGTGCCAAGAAGAAGCATTGGATGCTGCTGCCACCCTTACCTCAGCCACGCTGCCGAGCCGCAGCCTGCCACGTTCGCATCCCGTACCAATATCTTTACGGCTCCCAGCGCTACCCCATGCCCCAGAACCTGGCTCGCCAGCGAGATCGCATGCAGCAGATGCAGCAGCTCCATCGACGCACCCTCACTTTGCGGCGACAGCTGCAGTCTCAGATTGAATGTTAGGATTGAAAGCTGTTTGCACAAATCTGACATTCTGCCTTGTGTAGTTAGTACTTCATCTGCTGATAAATGCAGTGTTTGTCATCCCGAGACTTGATGAAATGCCCGAATGGGTTTACCTGGCTCTGGTTTGTAGGAAATAAGGTTCAAATTGTTGAAGTACAAAAAGTGATTTAGTAGCCTGTCTGGCTAATTCTTATCAGTCTTGCATAAATATTTACATTATTAGCTTATGCCTTACTTAAAATTTTCTAGTAAATGATACAGTGATTGCTGTGATGTTTTATGAAGACTGTTGATTTAATTGCTAAACAACTTAGTGTTATGTGTTAGCACCTTAGAATAAATCATGTCATTTTTCCCCATTGTTGTTCCATTTGATCCAGTGGTTTTGTGGCGTATATTGGTTTGTTGGTTTTAGTGGAGTCACTCTGTTTGTCAGACCTTTGTACTTATGGCAGAATTTGCTCTGCCTCTTTGTTTGCCTCCATGAATAAGAGTGCGTGTTGCCATATGGACAATGCACTGTGAAAACATGTGAAACCGCGATGTTGTTGACATGTTTTTGTTAATGTTCTCAGTGTTTCCGCCTGTGCCATTGTATTCCTTGCATTAAAGGACATTTAATGCTGACTTTTACGTTGTGCATTGTTGCATCTTTGACTTTATGTTTGTAAGACACCTCTGTCTCTCTCTCACCATGGCTGCAATCAGGCCAGTTTTTGGAACTCATGGTACTGTGCCTCCCTGCTCAGATAACACACTTACTCTCTTATTTCTATATTCTATACACAAGACATTGTTTTGTCTTTTGGGTGCTTATTTATGGCTTTCACCAAACTTTGGACACTTTGTCAATGTTCCTAACGGCATAGAAACACAACATCCTAAACCCTCACTGCTCTGTGTGCTTGTCTGTGGGACTGCAATAACCGTCAGTGCTTACCAACAATTCAGCTTTCCTGATGTAAACAGTTCTAATCCGGTGGCTGTTTTATTAGTTGTTGCTGCACATTGCTGAAGTATCAACAGTGCCAAGACTGAGTTATGCTTCTTTCTTTTCAAGCATAACACTCAGAATATACTGCAACCCCCTAGGGACTACAGTATATCCAGAGATAGAGTGTGGGCAGAGATAGAGGTTCACAGACTTACTGCACTCCAAAGAGACAGGAGAATAATGAACATGAACTCAAATTGAACCAAAGTTTGACATACTGTCTGGCTGCTGGAGAAAGATTTTATACTGTGAAAATGTTCAGTGGTACATTTGCTGTTTGCTGAAAGGAAAGTGACTGTAGCTGCTTACTTATAGCCATTATGGGTAGCTCATACCGAGGGTTTATATCAGTATGGAAGTACCTAAACACTTGGTGTTGGTTTACAGGTGAGAACAGTTCAGATTTAAAGCCTTTTATGGAAACCCAGAGTGTTCAATAATAAATAAAAGCAACATTGAAATTAATAATCATATGAATAAACTGTGTAAAATATATACTTGCACAGACCATTTGTGAAATCATTCAACAAGTATTAAAACTTAAGTCATTATTTTGAAATGGTATTTCATCATTCTTAATAGAGTTTTTAGGGGTTATATTTATTGTGATTATGGACATTATTATTTCATAATGCCTTTTTATGTCCTGTTTCTGTGGTAGCCTAGATGGTGATGATCATGCTGCTGTCTGTGACTCTGCAACAGACATGTTCATGAACACAGCAAGTCTAGAACAATTCAAAGTAGGTCAACCATACTTTGTGTGTATACACACACTTTAAGTAGGCCATTTCAACACTTTTCATATGTATAATTATACAGTGCACCTGAAGACCTGAGTACATAAACTCAGAACATGGAGGCATGTGGACCAGTGGAAAAACCCAAAGCTTTGTGGGCTCGCACTACAAACATCAAGATGGTAAGTAAATTGTCCAGGCCATTGTGAAATGTTGCATCAAATTTAGTGATGGGCAAATGATACCGAGGCTTTGGAGCTTGTGTCACTCATCCTGAAGCGGAGTGATTCGAAACGCTGTCAGAGCTTGTATCACGTGACCGATGACCTTCGAAGGTCATCGCTGTTTCACTTCGCGCTTCATTCCTTCAAAATGTTTCGAAGCTTTTCATTGGCTCATGGTCTTTCAGTGTGTGTCAACGCTCATGGCGTTTCAATGCATTCTGAGCCAATGACAGCTTGACGGGTTTTACAGATTTGTGTGGTTTGGTGCCATACCAGCTATATAAGATGCATCATTAAGGGTATTTTCCAAAGCTGGGGAGCTGGTCAGCCAGAAGAGGAGCCGGCTGAAGCCTGCGACAGTAGAAAAAATTATATTTCTCAATAAAAACCCGTGATGACAACTAACTTGTCTGCTTCTGTGAATAATCATTCCAAATCAACCATACAAGTCCCCAAATGACAAACCTTTATCTTTAAAGGTTTTCCTTAAACACTTCACACACAAAGATGCAATGTTTCTGAATTCAAACACATGATCATTTGCAAAGTAGGATCTCTAATCCTGTTAGGGGCTTTTAGTACAGTATTTAAATAAAGCTCAAAGCTTGAAATTAACCCTTAACCAACATTTAACCTTTAATATAATTTGCATTGATTGTTTGGGTTAATCTGGAATGTGTCTTACAGTATGGGGGAGAGCATCTGCATATTTTATTGTAATGACGATATAATCATTATTTGGTATGAATGAACAAAACACTTGAATGACCACACAGACTTTTCTGAACTTTTATTGCTGCCATGGGATTGAAACGGTGCCAGTGCTTCAGTCGTGCTCTTTAAAGGCTGCTATGCCTTCAGTTGTCCACCAGATGTCACTGAAGTCTTGAAGCTTTGAATCGTTTTCGGCACAATTGTTAGGAAAGCCTCAGTTCATGAGGCTTCACTTGCCCACCACTAATCAAATTCTTAACTGCTGTGGATAGCTTCTCAAAATGAAATTTAACATTCCTTCAGTTTAGTATTGCTTTCAACTGTAGAGTAGTTTAAATTACTGTTGGATCAAATTTGCATGGCCTGTTTCATAAATTGAGGGTAAACAAAATGGGAATTGTTGGTGAATGTTTCTTGTAATGGCGACGAACCCAGCAGAGGGATGACTTCGGCAGTCTTGCCTTTTCTTGGATGTGCCACCAGTGATTCAGAGATGGTGTCTTGTGGTTTTTTTTTTTGTTTTGTTTTGTTTTGTTTTTTGTGTGTGTGTGTTTTTTTAACCCCCCCAAGAAACTCTAGGCTTCAAAATGAAGCAAACCTATCAAAGCATGATGGGTTGAAATTGGAGCATATCATGCTTTAAACTCAAGCTTTTCCATTTCCCCCTTAACCAGATCAGCAGCATTCTTGAGGACATGCACAGAGACAGGCAAGTTTGTTTATAAATGGTCCATTATCTTTAAATTTTTTTTTTTTTTTTTTTGCAGGCTCGCCAGCCAGCTGCTGAAGTTTTGGCTAAAATGGGAACAGCAGGTGAGGATGGGGAAAACCACATCCAGCACCCGGACAATAAGCACAGGTGCCCCCAGGGATGTGTGCTTTCCCCTCTGTTTTCACTCTACACCAACACCTCACCAAAGATGTAATAAACGGTGAGCCGTCAGGATGCAAGGACGCGGCACCTTTAGTCACAGGTGAGCCGTCAGGATCTGAGGCCCCTGTAGATGTAATAAACGGAGAGCCGCCAGGATGCAAGGACACGGCACCTTTAGTCACTGGTGAGCCGTCAGAACAGGAGAACACGTGTGATGAACCTGTGGAGGACATCACACTGCAGGTGGACAACAAAAAAGCATTTGTCAGGATTCTTGTGCAGGATCTCCTTGCACGAACCGCCAAAAAGGCAAAAATGGGTCCCAATGCAATCTCAGAAGCTCTCTGTGTTGACCTGCTGGAAAGAACATGGGTGGAAGTCGAGGGCATCGATATTCCTATGAAGTCAAGAACTTTAAAAATCCTCACAAAAACTATTTACAAGGACCTTTGTAAGAAGTGGAGCTCTCCAGACCTTATACTGTTTGCCATGTATTCAAAGAACCCAGAAGTTGTAAAAAGCATAGCCTCTTCTATCAGAAAGTACATGACAAAACCAAAGCCTCGCACCATCTCCACGTTCTTCTCCTCTGTGGGTAAAGCCATCTCCAAATGCTTTACCTTCAGAAATAAGATAACGCCAGTGTCATAGTATGCCATTCCAGGATGACACTGGGAGGATATTATTTTTGTGTACGAACATGACCAAAGGGCAGCACAGCGGTTAGCGCTGTCACCTCACAGCAAGATGGTTCTGGGTTCGAGCCTTCCTGTGCGGAGTTTGCATGTTCTCCCTGTGTCTGCGTGGGTTCTCTCCCGGCGCTCGGGCTACCCCCCTGTGGGTGGAGCATCTCCAAATGCTTTACCTTCAGAAACGGATGACACTGGGAGAATATTATTTTTGTGTACGAACATGACCAAAGGGCAGCACAGCGGTTAGCGCTGTCACCTCACAGCAAGATGGTTCTGGGTTCGAGCCTTCCTGTGCGGAGTCTGCATGGTCTCCCTTAGGTTTATGCTTATGCCTGTGTGGGTTCTCTCCGGGTACTCCGGCTTCATCCCACTGTCCAAGACTTGCAGCTTATGTTGATTGGCGATTCTAAATTGGCCCCAGGAGTGAGTGTGTGTGTGGTTGGTTTGTCCACATGTCAGCCCGGTGACAGACTGACGACCTGCACCACCTCCTCCAACCAACTCAAAAGTGAGGCATAGCTTCTTATTAGACAGAAGTGTAAACAGGATGCAGGATGCTTTAAAGGCTTTCTTATTTTAATAAATGAAGTTTATTCTGCAGTATTTGTCATCATCATCCTTCTTGTACTCAAAAGTCACATGAACAATGTTTTTAAAGGAGAAAGAAAACTGACTGAGAATTTTACTGTGAATAGAAGCAGGTCTGACCAAAATATTTCAGTGTAGTTACAGGAGCACAACAAGTGCACAAAAGTTTCAGGAGCAGAATCACAGAAGGAGCTGGTGTCTGTGTGTTTTTAAATATCTTAAAGAAAGAAAAGTTTTGACAGGATAATATTTATACAGTAATTTAAGTGAAATTTCTCTTATCTTATTAATTAAAATGTGGACGATGCAGTGAACATGGCGCTGCATTACATCCTGCAACACCTCGACTCCCCAGGGACCTATGCACAGGTCCTCTTTGTGGACTTCAGCTCAGCGTTCAACACCATCATCCCAGACATCCTCCACTCCAAACTGACCCAGCTCACTGTGCCTGCCCCCACCTACCAGTGGATTACTAGCTTTCTGACAGACAGGGAGCAGCAAGTGAGGCTGGGAAAAACCACATCCAGCACCTGGACAATAAGCACAGGTGCACCCCAGGGATGTGTGCTCTCCCCTCTGCTGTTTTCACTCTACACCAACGACTGCATCTCCAAGGACCCCTCTGTCAAGCTCCTAAAGTTTGCAGATGACACAACGGTCATTGGTCTCATCCGAGACGATGACGAGTCAGCCTACAGATGGGAGGTTGAGCAGCTGGTCCTGTGGTGTAGCCGCAACAACCTGGAGCTGAACACGCTCAAAAC